TGATAAGAAATGGAAACATAAAAAGATCGTGAGATATCGGTCATGCAACACTTTAGTGACTATTGTATAGCTTTTGGGGTGTTTTTTTCCCTATACATGTACAGTTGATCGAGTATTTCGAGAGCCTGACGAATGGTGATATCACATGCGAAGTATTACGGTTCACAAACGGTAGTATAGTGGCAGATGTTAACTTGATCTTCCCTGCTAATGACGCCTCCCAGGCACAGAACATCATGAATAATGTCGGAATGGTTACCGCGATGGATTTAGGAAACATTATAGTCAACAATGAAACATTCTACTTCCCAATCGCCGTCAGCTCAAATGGTAAGATCAACTTTTTAAACCTATTCCTCACTTTTTGATCTTGGAAGAGTTTATCTCGTTTAGGTGTGACGCGGTTAACAGCAGCGTTATTTTTTTCTTCCTTGTAATAATAATAACGCAAGTGTTTGCTTCAAATATTTGGTATGATAACACAGAGCTAAGTGAATTACGGGTAGGACATACGTTGTGCGCAGTTGCCATTCATGTACACGTTATTGAGAGACACTGCCACAGTTTACCTCTTCATACCTGAACAAACCTTTAACAGCCGGGGCATTGTGTCACGAAAACGTCATAAGAACAAGTTTGCCGATATCCCATTGAAATACGTGTAGATTTTCAATACACACATTACGTTTCAATGGCATCTCGTTGAACTTGTACTTATGACGTTTCATGAAGCAAGGCTTAGTATTATAATTCAAATACTGAACTTACTTCTTTTTATTTGTACCTGTATAATACTCACTTGTCTTACAATTATAATACATGTGAAAGGTAAATTAATATGTTGTTCCCAATGTAATCTTTTGGTGACTTTAATATACTACTCAGTAATTGATTCATACGACTGCCAATCAATGTGAATGAATTTGAACCATTATTGTTATTATTGAGTATTTAGCGCCACTTGTGCCAGAGAGGCGTAAAGCGAACTGAGTCACTGCCCTCGGGTCTCTCCTCCCGCTACAACGGGTTTCCCCTACTCTTATATGAATAGTGCAATGGGTTTTTTTCGTGTCAATTTGGCATTTCTTCTCTACACAGGGCTTCCATTTAACATCTTATTCGAGAGACAAGAGTATTTTCCGCATAAGTCTGCGTCCATGAAACAGGGGAGGTGCACGTTAACGCACAACGCAGGCTTCATTTTTCCACCTGGGTTGAATTGGACCCCCAAGATCTTTGGTTGGACAGGCATATATAAGCTTTAATTACCGACTGATTCAGAAAAAGAAGAAGTAGTTATTATTATTAGTATAGTTGCTGTTAGTATTTGTGATCACCTGTGCCAGGGAGGGGGAAAGCACACTATATAATAATAGTTGGAGTAGTAATTGGAGCGCCTTGAGCACCATGTATGGTCGATATGTGCGCTATATAAATATCCAATATTATTATTATTATAAGCTTATCTGAACCTCGGATCTTGGTGTATTCTTCTCATTGTATTTATCCTTTTTTTTTCTTCTTTTCATTCAACAGTTGAGCTTACTACCATGCAAACAGAGACAACAACAGGTAGGCACACTAAATGTTTTTTGGCCTTCTATTTTTTTTTTTTTTTTTCTTCATCTTCTTTTTTTACTTTGTCTTTTTCTTATATACCGTATTTCTCTCTCCCCCCTTTTTTTTTCTTCTTCTTCAACTTCTTGTTCTCTTTTTCTTTTTATATTTTTTTTCACTTTCCTTCTTTTTTCCTTCTTGTTTCTCTTCTTCTGTCCTATCTTTTCATAATTTCCCTTTTTGTTTTTTCCTTCTTCTATTTTCTTCTTTAGATTCATCTTTTCACTCTTTTCACTCTTTTATGAGTCTTGTTATGGTTCATACCAGACCAGTAGTAGTAGTAGTAGTAGTAGTAGTTACAGTAATACTAGTATAAGTCGTAGCAGTTGTTGTAATGGTAATATAAGAAGAATTTAAAGAGAAGAGGTAGTATTAGTAGTACTTGTAGTAGTAGTAGTAGTAGTAGTAGATGATGTGGTCGTGGTACAAGAAGTGATAATAATCGAAATAAACGGCAACTGATAATCAAGTAAACTAAGGGCAGACATTTTACTATAGGTGTATAGCTCTTTTATAGTATTGCGTTTAACATTTTTTCCCTCTAAGGAACAACACTGGGGACAACCCTGAGAACAACACCTGGAACAACGCCTGGAACAACATCCGGAACAACCCCTGGAACAACACCTGGAACAACACCAGGCACAACACCTGGAACAACCCCTGGAACAACACCTGGAACAACACCAGGCACAACACCTGGAACAACCCCTGGAACGACACCTGGAACAACCCCTGGCACAACACCTGGAACAACACCTGGAACAACACCTGTGACAACGCCAGCTACAACACCTGGAACAACCCCAGGAACAACACCTGGAACAACCCCTGGAACGACACCTGGAACAACGCCAGGAACGACACCCGGAACAACACCTGGAACAACACCAGGCACAACACTAGGTACTACACCAGGCACAACACCAGGTAAGGTCAAGTTTTTTCTGGGGTTTAAAGCTATACACACTATTCTACTTTCAAGGAGTTGGGTTCTCTGAATGTCATGCGGTCATTGCCTCTGTAAGAAGTTTGAACAAATGTCACACCTAATATACAGGGCGTATCATAATAAAGGATATTGAAGTTTAATGACGATTTATATGAAAACTACTGATTTCATAATCAAGCATTTTATGTCTGTTGTAAAGGACAGAATGTCCCCTTGTTAATGACACCCCGATCATACTACTACTGTCACAGTTGACTGAATAACAAAGCATTGCTGTCCACCATGTGAAAGGTGCACTGTGACAAGTTAGCATTCACAGATAAATTCTAAAGATTAGTGCTTGTGTCAGCCCAGACATATTGAAATGCTGAACAATGAGTGGATTATGTGTCTAAGAAGGAAATGCTTTGTTATTCAGTCAACTGTGACATTAGTAGTATGATCGGGGTGTCATTAACAAGAGGACATTCTGTCCTTTACAACAGACATAAAATGCTTGATTATGAAATCAGTAGTTTTCATATAAATCGTCATTAAACTTCAATATCCTTTATTATTTGTCACACCTAATATATGTCATTTCGAATGCCAAGCAGCAACTGATAATCAAGTAAACTAAGCACAGAAATCTTGAATATAGGTGGAAAGTTTTTTAGTAATGAATTATACAATTATTCTTTCCCTCAGGAACAACTCCAGGAACAACACCTGGAACAACTCCAGCTACAACACCAGCTACAACACCAGGAACAACGCCAGGAACGACACCCGGAACTACACCTGGAACAACACCTGTGACAACGCCAGCTACAACACCTGGAACAACACCTGGAACAACACCAGGCACAACTCCAGGTACTACACCAGGCACAACACCTGGTTCTACACCAGGCACAACTCCAGGTTAGGTCAAGTTTTTTGGGGGGTTTAAAGCTAGATACACTATTCTACTTTCAAGGAGTTGGGTTCTCTGTATGTCATGCGGTCATTGCCTCTGTAAGAACTTTGAACAAATGTCACACCTAATATATGTCATTTCCAATGCAAACAGCAACTAATAATCAAGTAAACTAAGCGCACAAATCTTGAATATATTTTAGGTCTATATTAATACATACAAATTTTAATTTTTTCCCTCAGGAACAACTCCAGGAACAACACCTGGAACCACTCCAGCTACAACACCTGCAACAACACCTGCAACAACGCCTGGAATGACACCTGGAACAACACCTGGAACAACACCTGTGACAACGCCAGCTACAACACCTGGAACAACACCTGGAACAACACCAGGCACAACACCAGGTACTACACCTGGCACAACACTAGGTTAGGTCCAGTTTTGTTTGGGGTTTAAAGCTAGAAACACTACTGTACTTTCAAGGAGTTGGGTTCTCTGAATGCCATGTGGTCATTGCCTCTGTAAGAAGTTTGAACATTTGTCACACCTAATATATGTCTTTTCTAATGCCGAACAGCAACTGATAATCAAGTAAACTAAGGGCAGAAATCTTGAATATAGGTGGAAAGTTTTTTAGTAATAAATAAAACAATTATTCTTTCCCTCAGGAACAACTCCAGGAACAACACCTGGAACAACTCCAGCTACAACACCAGCTACAACACCAGGAACAACGCCAGGAACGACACCCGGAACAACACCTGGAACAACACCTGTGACAACGCCAGCTACAACACCTGGAACAACACCAGGCACTACACCAGGTACTACATCAGGCACAACACTAGGTTAGGTCAAGTTTTGTTTGGGGTTTAAAGCTAGACACACTACTGTACTTTCAAGGAGTTGAGTTCTCTGAATGTCATGCGGTCATTGCCTCTGTAAGAAGTTTGAACAATTGTCACACCTGATATATGTCATTTCCAATGCCAAACAGCATCTGATAATCTAGAAAACTACGGTAAGCGCACAAATCTTGAATATAGGTATTTAGTTCTATATCAATACATATAACTTTTGAACTTTTTCCTCAGGAACAACTCCAGGAACAACACCTGGAACAACTCTAGCTACAACACCTGTGACAACGCCAGCTACAACACCTGGAACAACACCAGGCACTACACCAGGTACTACATCAGGCACAACACTAGGTTAGGTCAAGTTTTGTTTGGGGTTTAAAGCTAGACACACTACTGTACTTTCAAGGAGTTGAGTTCTCTGAATGTCATGCGGTCATTGCCTCTGTAAGAAGTTTGAACAATTGTCACACCTAATATATGTCATTTCCAAAGCCAAACAGCAACTGATAATCTAGAAAACTACGGTAAGCGCACAAATCTTGAATATAGGTATTTCTATATCAATACATATAACTTTTGAACTTTTTCCTCAGGAACAACTCCAGGAACAACACCTGGAACAACTCTAGCTACAACACCTGCAACAACGCCAGCTACAACACCTGGAACAACACCTGGAACAACACCTGGAACAACGCCAGCTACAACACTTCGAACAACACCGGGAACCACACCAGGTACTACACCAGGCACAACATCAGGTTAGGTCAAGTTTTGTTTGCGTTATGAAGCTATAGACGCACTATGGTACTCTAAAGGATTTGAGTTCTCTAGGGTGCGAAGGTCAATGTAAAAAGGCGAATTTATCTGAAATGATTCTTAGGGAGTGGATGATGTGCACTGTTATGTGCGGAATATTATTTGAATTCAGTGACTGGGGAAATAATAATGTGTGTGTAGTTATGGTTTCGGCTGATATTCTGTTTCTGAAAGACCTTCTTTCTTTTTTTTAAAGAAAAATATAGCTTGTTTTTTCATGTGCCACGGTTTGAGTGTGTGTATTGCGTACGTTGAATGGCTGCAAGATCAAGCAGCTAATTTGTATTCACATTTTGTACAGATATTCCGCGTATTGCACTGACGCTGCATACATTGCCATGGTAAGGCCGTGCGAGCGCCTGTTAAGGGTACAGATTTATATTTTCAAATGTTGGCAGGTATAAACAAAATAATTTTATTGGGATATTCTTTCTCATGATTGCACTCACAGAGGAGGTGAATCCTTGCAGTGATGTTCCATGTCTGAATGGAGGAACATGTACCAACCTGATAGAGACCTACACCTGCATCTGTGGGGGATCCTTCATGGGCAGGAACTGTGAAATAGGTAAGTGCTAGCTATCAAATAGAAATTTATTGAAATGGTTTCTAATCGGTGATTTCCACAATTACAATATTCTGATAGACATTTTTTTTTTTTTAATTTTGCATAATTGTCAAAAAATACCAATGCTGTAACAAAACTAGTGGATTTAATAGTTTGCTTTTTTTATTTTCCATTTGGAGAAATATTAGCTAACTATTTAAATTGTTTAGTTGATGCACCTCTGCAGTGGGTTTTCAACATTTTCTACTGAAGAAATGCAGCAGGTTCTTCCACTCGACAAGGGTGCACAGTTAGTTCTTATATGTATACAAACTACATTACATCCTTTTATAGGGGCAGAGCATGTGAAAAAACTCACAATTCGATATACGAAAAGCCAATATTAGAACTTATGATCTTATACACTCAGAATCCAGATCATAATGAAGTACTGAAAATTCACCCAACCCTCTTTTATTTGTATTTAAAGAGTATGGCATCTGCTACGCATCTGGTGATCCTCACTACAAGACATTTGATGATCTTAGGTATGACTTCCAGGGCAATTGTTCCTACATTCTCACTCAAGATTGCTCCACAGCTGACCCACTCTTCAAAGTGATCGTCTCAAATAGAAAGATATCCCAAACAGCTTCAGTGTCAATCACGTATGATGTTACAATCATCCTGAATCAAACGGTGTGTACTCATGTCATGTTGTTGTCTTGGAGCATTTGCTTTATGATCCTTCGTTTGTTGTAGATTAATTGGGTTGTATACATTTTTTTCAGGCAAGTTGTGGCAGAGTTTAGACTACACAATATTACATTAAGATAAACATATACACTGGGCATGCAAATCTGGGAATATCATCATATAAATAACAGTATATCATTTATTCCTATTCCTAGTGCAGTCTAAGCCGATACCGCCAAGTATGTGGCATATAGCGCCTTTTCCAAAATACTATTCAATTTGCTCCACTGCATTGTAATATTCTTTTAAATAAAGTGTATCTCTTCTGTACGCACATTTCTATGACCTACTCATAAAGGTGAGAAAAAAAAATGTATAACTGATTCCTGTATTAATATCATGCAAATCTTCCAGATTGTTTTCTCTACACCATGATTTGACTGTGGAGAAAGATTTGTGAACATAGCTCTTGAAGCGCCCCAAGCTTGTCGATAAAGTGACTACCGTTTAAAGATTACAGACATTATTTTGATTACGATTCATGCTTTGACTCTAAATGAAATTGGTTTTCAGGAGATATACTTAGGACCCGACCTTGCTGTAAGCGTGGATGATGTCATTGTCAATCTCCCATCTGAAAGACCTGGCATCAGGATTTCTCTTAGTGGCATCAATGTGGTAAGGCAACCGGCACCAGTGGAGTTATCTTAAAACTTATTCAACTTCTAAGTTTTATCCGTCTCTCTCTCTCTCTCTCTCACTCTCTAACTCTCTCGATCTCTTTTTAATGTTGAGTCTTGTGCATTATTTGAGCTGTCCCCCCTGTGCGGTATTTTCTTCCAAATTTGTTCAGATATCTATTAGATAAATGAGGGATTCGATTTTTAAGAACAATAAAATATTGAAAGTATCGATTATTTGACATCATATTATCAGGTCCTGCTGTATAGTAAAATTTAAAGAATGGATAGAAACTTTAATTTCTAATCTGCAAGTGATAATTTCATTTCTATATACCGGTAGGATGCCTATTTTCACTCGATAACAGTATTGAGTCGATGACCTGAGAGTTGCCCCCAGGACACACAATTGCTTTGGCTTCATTTCAGTCAAGATCCAGGGTTAGGATACAGGTTCTGATTTGGTCTTATATTAGATTCAGAGTTAGGCCTAGAATTAGTAATAGTTTATGGTCCAAGGTTGGAGTTTGAAATTCAGTTTGTGTAAGAAATCGATCCTGGAGCAATTGTCTCGGAAGCATGTGTCATAGAACCATGAAAACAATTTGTTTCAATGTCACATTACAGCAAGTAGTAGCAGATGTCGGCCTTTATGTGCGATGGGATGGTAACAGCAGAGTGGAGGTCAAAGTGACATCCGACTTCAAGGACAATACCTGTGGTCTATGTGGAAACTACAATGGAATTGGTACCCAAGAGGATGAGTTTCTTACACCAACAGGAAATTCGGTAAGTAAATGGATGCTTCCATAGTTGCCATACATTATGTGCATGTATAAATTAAGCCAGAAAGAAAACTAACAATTAAAACTGATATTATAATCTCAGATTGCAGTTTCCTTTCTTGCTCTCCTTATGACCTGTTGTATTATTTTATGAACAAGCTGTATTGCAGATCTTGAATTCCATTATGAGGATACACAAACGAATGATATGTTGAATCAGAGGGAACAGAGTTAATATTCTTGTACTCCAGCCCCTGTTTTAGTGATGGAATATTAGCAAAACCTTCTCGGATATTTTTCACACATGTGTTGTATATGAATTCAATATCTTGATGTATTGCTTTGTGAGATTATGTTCTCATTATGGAGAATCTATTGTTATCTTTACTTTTCAATGGTTTATACACCTGATACTTCTCTTTCAATATTGGTGTTTTTCTGAAAAAATGTCGAAAGTATATAACTAAGAATTTATAAGCCTTGGTTTCCAACGAGGCAGCATTGGGGATTATCTGGGAAGCTCACAATGATGCACTTTGGTGTTCTGGATTTTATTATTCAAATTTCAAAAAATGTATATTATTGTTATTGTTTTTTTAAAAAACTATATGTGTTTAATGTGCCAGCAGCTGGAAGCGATTTTAGTTTAAGTGCTCCAAAGAGTCTAGTTGTTATCATAGTTTATATGACTTGTGGTGATAGGTGTCAAAGGAGGCAGACATTGGAAACAGCTGGGAATAGCTTGAGTGCTAAACAGTTTGTGTTTTTATCTTGTTTTATTTACAATCTACAAACCCTAAGTATTCACAGAGGCAGCATTTGGTAAAAGCTGGATTACAATGATCCAGAGTGTGTGCCTCAGGAAGATAAAACAGACACATGTTCGCGCCTTCTTCCTTGTAATACAAGTTCTTAAATTATATTTATTTTCCTACCTATCAGTAAATTGTATTGTTTGATCAGATGCCAAATATGTTGTCAAATTGAAAGGAAGAAAATAAATGGTCATTTGAATTGAATTGAATTGAGTGCTTCAGAGTTTTTATCATATTTCATTTGATTTCTGAACATAGGTGTCCAATGAGGCGGCATTTGGCAACAGCTGGGAGGCTTGCGATGATTCAGATTGTGTACCTCAAGAAGACGAAACCAATCCTTGCTCAAGTGCTACAGAGTCTGTGGTTCTTGGAGCCGAAAGCAAGTGTGATATCATCAAAAGTGCTGCAGGTAAAGAATAAAACAAATTAAAAAATGGTGTGAACAAATAGACTTTATCATTGAATTAATGCCCTGTTGGCACTCGAAAGATGAATTATGGATACATTTTGCTATATTTATACTTTCGATACCCAACGGTGCTATAATGATTTTTGGTAAAAATATCAACAACAAAAAGAAAAATAATGATATGTGAGAAAAAAATGATACAGATGTGGCATTGATTGTTACACTTATTCTAATTGTGATTGTAAGCATTTTATTTGCAAAATCTATTATTCACATAGTTGGATATAATGCTGTAAACAAGAAAGAACCAGTATTCAGTCAGGTTTTCCGATATGTTATTACAATATTCCTGTTTTCATTGCTTTTAATCTCCAATACAGTTTGATATAACTTAATTTGTCTTCATTGCTGTAAGTACAAGATACTGTATGATGGATTCTCATATTCTTGTAATGTGATGAAGACATGATACATGTATGGTACATCTCAATTTATGAAGATGTGTGCTGTTCTGAATTATGAAATTGAGACATGTACAGTTTCTCAACTTAAAATACTTATTTTTTTGTCAGTAGTATTACTTAAGTGCTATTTCGTCACCCTGTCCTCTGAATCTTGCAGGTTTTACCGAGTGCTTTGCTGTATTAGATCCCACCCCATACTTCGGAGACTGTGTCTATGATGTCTGTGCGTCCCCTGATGACGGCGATACTGCACTCTGTAACGCTTTGGCATCTTACACTCAAGCATGCAGATACCTCTATGTTGATGTCCCTTCTTGGAGGAATGAAACACTTTGTCGTAAGAATCAAGACTTTAATTGTTGAAAAGTTACTCAGAAAGCAATATTTGTACACTCCTGATAGTTTTATCGAAGTTACTTCTTAGATATGGTGGAATTAGGTATTGATGAAAGCAAACAAATCTCCTACTTTATCAAAATTGTCTTTGGCATGATAAGTATTTTATAATAGGCAATTGAATTCATTTAGCAAATTTCCATGTATGATTTATGGATAGTAAATTATTGAATTGAATTGAAAAGAAATCACCTTTAGAGATCCAAGTGAAGGCAAGCTGTAAGAATGATGGAGCAAGTGATGAATCCTAAATGTGCAAATCCCAAGAAGACAAACAGGCTCAATAATAGTAGGGGTCTCAACATTTCCTGTCCAACTTATAGATGTCTCTGCAGGGCCAAGATTAGCCTTCCATAAATGAGACTCTCAAACCAACTTAAGGAGTAACTTGATATCCTGAAAAATGAGATGACAACCACCAATCATCTATCCCAATCTGCTTTTTTCTCTGCATGGTTGCTTTCTTGCCACAGGTGCAATGTTGCACAAAAAACAATAAGAACCAATTTACAGAACGATGGATTTGTGCAACACATTGGCTTTGCAAAATTACCTATTTCTAGTTGGTCTTGATTTGCTCAATGACGACCTTTTTAACACCGGCATTGACTAATCTTACACTGGAAACAGTAAGATATTCTTGAAGCATCTATCTCATGATAAATACAATCTGGCATAAGGATGAACATTTTGTGCCATATAGAGACAATCCATGTCTAATCTTTATCCCTATCCTTTCTTGCTATCCCTGTCCAGCCCTGACCTGTCCATCAAACAGTATCTACGGTAACTGCATCTCCGCCTGTCCACGCACCTGCTGGGATTACCAAGACCCTGATCCCCCCTGTCACGACCTCTGTGTTGAGGGGTGTGCATGTGATGAGGGATTCGTCCTGGAGAATCTGCAGTGTGTACCAGAGAGCCAGTGCGGATGTGTAACAGATGGATTCTATCTCACAGTAAGTTAATCTTGGAATATTTTAATCATGTTGTGTATTTTTTTTGTTTTACCTACCTCTAGTTTATTTACAGTTACAGTAATACTGTGAATTGTTTGATAGATTTCACTGTTATGTATATAAGGATATCACTACTAAAATCGAATTACAAGTGTTTTTTATGTTTTGATAATGATGTAATGCAACTGATCTGCATAGAGATAGTATATTAACGCCATGTCATTGGCTTTTGTGATAAGTGTCATTGTCTCTTACTATATAGATTATAATTCAGGTTGACATCTACCCAAAATATATATTGAATTGAAAGTGAAACCTTATTTAAAAATTGAAATAACTGCATGAAATATAACAGGAGAAGCTGCATTCATACTTTTTACGGCCTACGGCTAATACTCATTATCAAAATGCAATTTCACTTGTGACATTTTGAGAATGAAAGCTAATGAGAAAAAAAATCAGTGAATTCCCTGTTTGCTGACTTTCTCCCTTTCTCTCTTCCCACTCCATATCCCTGCTTCTGTGTTTCCTGTAAATAGGTTGGCAGTAGTATGCTTACTCCAGACTGCACAGAATACTGCGAGTGCAACGCAGGAGGTAGTATCAACTGCACTCAAGTATCCTGCGATCCTAGCGCATCTTGTGGAGTGGAGGATGGAGAAACAAGCTGCATATGCAACGCTGGCTATGAAACTGTGGGCAATGCATTCGACTGTACAGGTAGGTTGTTTTCTGTTTCAACACTTTTACTTTAGACTGCACAGGGTGACCTGACGTGTGCTCCCATGGCACTCGCTCCAGGTTTCATTCAATCAGAAATATAGGGTTAGGGTTGCCATTGGTTCGTTCTGAGGTTCATGTGGTTATTGCCTCTGTAAGCAGCTTTGAGCATTTGTCACACCTGATATTTGGCATTTCCAATGTCAAACAGCAACTGATAACCCAGTAAATTAAGCGCAGAAATCTTGAATATAGGTATTTAGTTCTAATTCTATATTAATACATATAACATTTAATTACACCAGGTACTACACCTGGCATAACACCAGGTTAGGTCAAGTTTTATTTAGGGTTTAAAGCTAGCCACAGTATTGTACTTTCAAGGATTTGGGTTCTCTGAATGCTAGTGGTTATTGCCTTTGTAAGCAGCTTTGGGCATATATCATTTCCAATGTCAAACAGCAACTGATAACCATATAAAATTAATTGCAAAAAATCTTAAATATAGGTATAAAATTCTTTAGTAATGAATATAACATTTATTTTTCCCTCAGGAACAACAACTTCAATGGGAATGATGACTTCATCTGACTTATCTTCTACCGTAGGAATGATGTCTTCATCTGAAACGTCATCTTCAATGGGAATGATGACTTCATCTGAAACGTCACCTTCAATGGGAATGATGACTTCATCTGACTTATCTTCTACCATGGGAATGATGTCTTTATCTGAAACGTCAACTTCAATGTTAATGATGACTTCATCTGACTTATCTTCTACCGTGGGAATGATGTCTTCATCTGAAACGTCACCCTCAATGATAATGATGACTTCATCTGACTTATCTTCTACCATGGGAATGATGTCTTTATCTGAAACGTCAACTTCAATGTTAATGATGACTTCATCTGACTTATCTTCTACCGTGGGAATGATGTCTTCATCTGAAACGTCACCCTCAATGATAATGATGACTTCATCTGACTTATCGTCTACTGCAACAACACCACTTACAACACCAGTTACAACACAAGGAACAACCCCTGGAACGACACCCGGAACAACACCTGTGACAACGCCAGCTACAACAACTGGAACAACGCCTGGAACGACTCTCAGAACAACACCCGGAACAACACCTAGAACAACACCTGTGACAACTCCAGCTACCACACCAGGAACAACGCCTGGAACGACATCCGGAACAACACCTGGAACAACACCTGTGACAACGCCAGCTACAACACCTGGAACAACACCTGGAACAACACCAGGCACAACACTAGGTACCACACCAGGCACAACACCAGGTTAGGTCAAGATTTGTTTGGGGTTTAAAGCTAGACACACTATTCTACTTTCAAGGAGTTGGGTTCTCTGAATGTCATGCGGTCATTGCCTCTATAAGAAGTTTGAACATTTGTCACACCTAATATATGTCATTTCTAATGCCAAACAGCAACTAATAATCAAGTAAACTAAGCACACAAATCTTGAATATAGGTATTTAGTTCAATATCAATAATCAATTTTGATTTTTCTCCTCAGGAACAACTCCAGGAACAACACCTGGAACAACTCCAGCTACAACACCAGCTACAACACCAGGACCAACACCAGGAACGACACCCGGAACAACACCTGGAACAACACCTGTGACAACGACAGCTACAACAACTGGAACAACGCCTGGAACGACACCCGGAACAACACCTGGAACAACACCTGTGACAACTCCAACTACAACACCAGGAACAACGCCTGTAACGACACCCGGAACAACACCAGGTACTACACCAGGCACAACACCAGGTTAGGTCAACTTTCGTTTGGGGTTTAAAGCTAGACACACTACTGTACTTTCAAGGAGGTGGGTTATCTGAATGTCATGTGGTCATTGCCTCTGTAAGAAGTTTGAACATTTGTCACACCTAATATATGTCATTTCTAATGCCAAACAGCAACTAATAATCAAGTAAACTAAGCACACAAATCATGAATATAGGTATTTAGTTCTATATCAATTATCAATTTTGATTTTTCTCCTCAGAAACAACTCCAGGAACAACACCTGGAACAACTCCAGCTACAACACCAGCTACAACACCAGCTACAACACCAGGAACAACGCCAGGAACGACACCTGGAACGACACCTGGAACAACACCTGTGACAACGACAGCTACAACAACTGGAACAACGCCTGGAACGACACCCGGAACAACACCTGGAACAACACCTGTGACAACTCCAGCTACAACACCAGGAACAACGCCTGGAACGACACCCGGAACAACACCCGGAACAACACCTGTGACAACGCCAGCTACAACACCTGGAACAACACCTGGAACAACACTAGGTACTACACCAGGCACAACACCAGGTAAGTTCAAGTTTTGTTTGGGGTTTAAAGCTAAACACACTACTGTACTGTCAAGGAGTTGGGTTCTCTGAATGTCATGTGGTCATTGCCTCTGTAGGAAGTTTGAACATTTGTCACACCTAATATATGTCATTTCCAATGCCAAACAGCAACTGATAATCAAGTAAACTAAGCACAGAAATCTTGAGTATAGGTGGAAAGTTTTTTAGTAATGAATAAAACAATTATTCTTTCCCTCAGGAACAACTCCAGGAACAACACCTGGAACAACTCCAGCTACAACACCAGCTACAACACCAGGAACAACGCCAGGAACGACACCCGGAACAACACCTGGAACAACACCTGTGACAACGCCAGCTACAACACCTGGAACAACACCTGGAACAACACCAGGCACAACACTAGGTACCACACCAGGCACAACACCAGGTTAGGTCAAGATTTGTTTGGGGTTTAAAGCTAGACACACTATTCTACTTTCAAGGAGTTGGGTTCTCTGAATGTCATGCGGTCATTGCCTCTATAAGAAGTTTGAACAAATGTCACACCTAATATATGTCATTTCCAATGCCAAATAGCAACTGATAATCACGTAAACTAAGCGCAGAAATCTTGAATATAGGTGGAAAGTTTTTATGCCTCCGTTACGAAGTAGCCGGAGGCATTATGTTTTCGGGTTGTCCGTCCGTCCGTCCGTCCGTCCGTCCGTCCGTACGTCTGTACGTACGTCTGTACGTACGTCCCGTTCTCGTGATCACGTTATCTGAAGAACGGATCAATGGATTCCTACCAAACTTTGGTCATATATGTATCTAGCAAAGTCGATGAACTGATTAGATTTTGGGGTCACGAGGTCAAAGGTCAAAGGTCACAGGGCTCATTATGTATGCAAAAACAGCTCGTGATCGCGTTATCTGAAGAACCGATGGATGGATTCCTGCCAAACTTTGGTCATGTATGTATCTTGTAGAGTCGATGAACTGATTAGATTTTGGGGTCACGAGGTCAAAGGTCAAAGGTCACAGGGCTCATTATGTATGCAAAACGGCTCGTGATCGCGTTATCTGAAGAACCGATAGATGGATTCCTGCCAAACTTTGGTCATGTATGTATCTTGCAGAGCCAATGAACTGATTAGATTTTGGGGTCACGAGGTCAAAGGTCAAAGGTCACAGGGCTCATTATGTATGCAAAAACAGCTTGTGATCGCGTTATCTCAAGAACCGATTGGTGGATTCCTGCCAAACTTAGGTCATGTATGTTACTTGCAGAGCCGATGAACTTATTAGATTTTGGGTAACGAGGTCAAAGGTCAAAGGTCACAGCGCCCATTATGTATGCAAAAACAGCTTGTGATCGCGTTATCATTAGAACAGATTGATGGATTCCTGCCAAACTTAGATCATTTATGTATCTTGCAGAGCCAATGAACTGTGTAGATTCTTGGTTCATAAGGTCCAAGGTCATGGGCTCATTATGTATGCAAAAATAGCTTGTGAACGCATTCTCATTAGAACTGACAGATGGATTACTATTTAACTCTGGATATCTTGCAGAGCCAATGAGCTGAGTAGATATTAGGATCATGAGGTCAAAGTTCAAAGGGTCATATATGTATATGAGAAATTGTTTGTAATCACGATATTCTGAGAACCTGTTAATGGATTACAATTGAACTTGAATTTGAAAAATTTCTTCTGTTTTGGTTTGTAAAATTGCTCTATGACGGAGGCATCATTTTCGACTGCGCGCAGTCGAATTCCATCTAGTTTAGTAATGAATAAAACAATTATTCTTTCCCTCAGGAACAACTCCAGCTACAACACCAGCTACAACACCAGGAACAACGCCAGGAACGACACCCGGAACAACACCTGGAACAACACCTGTGACAACGCCAGCTACAACACCTGGAACAACACCTGGAACAACACCAGGCACAACACTAGGTACCACACCAGGCACAACACCAGGTTAGGTCAAGATTTGTTTGGGGTTTAAAGCTAGACACACTATTCTACTTTCAAGGAGTTGGGTTCTCTGAATGTCATGCGGTCATTGCCTCTATAAGAAGTTTGAACAAATGTCACACCTAATATATGTCATTTCCAATGCCAAATAGCAACTGATAATCACGTAAACTAAGCGCAGAAATCTTGAATATAGGTGGAAAGTTTTTTAGTAATGAATAAAACAATTATTCTTTCCCTCAGGAACAACTCCAGCTACAACACCAGCTACAACACCAGGAACAACGCCAGGAACAACACCCGGAACAACACCTGGAACAACACCTGTGACAACGCCAGCTACAACACCTGGAACAACACCTGGAACAACACCAGGCACAACACTAGGTACCACACCAGGCACAACACCAGGTTAGGTCAAGTTTTGTTTGGGGTTTAAAGCTACACACACTACTGTACTTTCAAGGAGTTGGGTTCTCTGAATGTCATGCGGTCATTGCCTCTGTAAGAAGTTTGAACAATTGTCTCACCTAATATATGTCTTTTCCAATGCCAAACAGCAACTGATAATCAAGTAAAGTAAGCGCACAAATCTTGAATATAGGTATTTGGTTCTATATCAATGCATTTTGAATTTTTTCCTCATGAACAACTCCAGGAACAACACCTGGAACAACTCTAGCTACAACACCTGCAACAACACCTGCAACAACGCCAGCTACAACACCTGGAACAACGCCTGGAACAACGCCAGCTACAACACTTGGAACAACACTGGGAACCACACCAGGTACTACACCAGGCACAACACCAGGTTAGGTCAAGTTTTGTTAGCGCTATGAAGCTAGACACATGATGGTACTTTATAGGATTTGGGTTCTTTAAATCATTAGGGTGCGAAGGTCAATGTAAAAAGGCGACTATATCTGAAATGATTCTTAGGGAGTGGATGATGTGCACTGTTATGTGCGAAATATTATTTGAATTCAGTGACTGGGGAAATAATGCTGTTAGCGCCTTGATCGGTTGTGTGTGGGGTAAGGGTTTTGGCTACACTTTTGTCTCAGGTTAGGTTTAGAATTAAGGTTAGGTTATGGTTTAGGTGGCAATATGGGTTTCTGCGCAATTAATTCAGTGACTGGGGTAATAATGCTGTTAGCTCCTTGGTCGGTTGGGTGTGGGGTTAGGGTCTTGGCTACAGTTGTTAGGTTATGGTTAAGGTTGCAATTAGGGTTTCCGGGCAGTTATTATTATTATGATGATGATGATAATGATGATGATTATTATCGTTGTCATTATATCTACTAATCATCATTACTATTATTCATTAATATCATTATTTACTGATTTCTTCCTTCAATTTCAGATGTTTTGATTTCTATTGACATCACCTTCAATAACACATACCAGATTGATCTCGCGAACTCATCGTCTTCTGCGTTCATCAATTTGGCCAATGCTCTGTGCAACCGCGTGAGTTTTTTTAACACATTTTAACCTCTCAATTTCAGTTGCAGTTTATTGTTACATTTTCGATATACATTTTAAGTTAAACAATAATTTCACAAACCAAATGGAGACAAAAATCAGAAAGTGAGTACCTCATATCAATTTGTCTGAATGCATTGACTAAAAGTTTGAACTAAAAAGAAGATTGAATTGGAAAAGAAGAGTGAAATATGGAGTGGCCAATGTAGAAAGCAATGCCTGTGTGTTTAATATACCGGTAGGCCCCAAATTGTTGTAAATTTCATCCCAAAAATTGTTTGTTTTAAGGGACGAATAATTAATGACAATCACAGCAATATAATTTGTGTTCGAAAAAAGGGCAATGATAAAGTCATTTTTATCACAACAATGTAACAAATTAATTTGTTATAATAAAATTGCTTTACCTGTACAAACTTGCATTACCTACATACATTTGCATTACTTGTACATGAAAATATTGCAACAGAACTTGCCTGACGTATTTTGATTTGATTTTGTTTGATTGTGTTTACTATGTTCATATCTATCATCATAGGTTTATAAATTCACATGACAATATATAGGATGACCCCACCTCCCCCAAAACGCACATGTGATCTGTAATTTATTTTTATGCCTCCGTTACGAAGTAGCCGGAGGCATTATGTTTTAGGGTTGTCCGTCCGTACGTCCCGTTCTCGTGATTGCGCTATCTCAAGAACCGATTGATGGATTCCTGCCAAACTTGGGTCATGTATGTATCTGACCAGTGGCGGATCCAGGGGGGGGGGGGGAAATCATGTAAAAACAGGTGAATTTTACCCTTTTTTGGGGTTGGGCCCCCCCCCCCTGGCGCTCAAGGGGGGGATGCAAGTTTTTAAATTTTCGAGGACCAAAAAATATAAAATGTGCTCACTACTCCCCCCCCCCCCCCCCCCCCCCCCCCCCCCCCCCCCCCACTGAGCGAATTTTTCGGCCGGCGCGATTTTCAAATTTTCGGGAGCAAAAAAAAAAAAAAGTTGGGCCCCCTCCCCTAAGAAATCCTGGATCCGCGCCTGTATCTGACAGAGCTAATGAGCTGATTAGATTTCGGGGTCACGAAGTCAAAGGTCAAAGGTGACAGTGGTCATTATGTATGCAAAAATAGCTTGTGATCACATTATCAATAGAACTGATAGACGGATTACCGTCAATCTCTAAACATGTATTTATCTTGCAGAGCCGGATGAACCAAGTAGATTTTGGGGTCTTGAGGTCAAAGATAAAAGGGGCATACATGTATATGGAAAATAGCTTGTAATCACGATATTCTGAGAACCTGTTAATGGATTACAATTAAACTTGATTTTGAAAAATTGCTTCTGTTTTGGTTTGTGAAATCGCTCTATGGCGGAGTCGAAGTTCGCAGTCGAAGTTCCATCTAGTTTAATTTTTTTTTATTGGGGGGAAAGATTTCCAAATGAAATGATAGCAAGATCGTCAATTTGCTTCTTTGCAACAGAAGTGATGCTTAAACAAAAAAGAAATGTGCCTATATGACAGCTTCCCACACAATCAGCTGTGGTGTGAGTGTTGTCGTCATGTTTCAACCATTAGTGAATAAAGATATGAGTTTCTTCTAAATTGACATATTAAGAAAGAATGAGAAAGTAAACAAAATATTTTCCACCTCTACCAGAAATCAAAATTCTCTTAAATAAAATTTCCTTGGATAGAAATGGAACTCGGTGTAAACAATGATGCAAACAATAAATCGGCTACCATGCAATGAGCATGCTGTACTAAAGTTTAGTAGCGTTCTTCAAAAAATGAAATACAATTTCATTCTCACTCTCACAAAGTCTGAAAATTCGCCATTCAATGAATAATGAATACTAATAATCATAATACAATTTTTAGACCTTATGTATGGTAGAAAAAATAGGCAATCGATGAACTTGGAATTAGACTAACTGGTTATTAGACTAAATGGAGATTAGACAAACTGATTATCGGACCATAGACGAACTGGTTGTAGACCCAATGGCAACTCAATACGCGCCAGTTTGCTGGCGTGGGTATTGAAATGCACAACCCGCATGTTTTCCTTCCCGACCAAGATAGCTCAACCTGGCTAGTAAATATTAATACTTGTTGTAAATATATACATGTACTATAAAAATATATGAAACTGATAAGAAATGGAAACATAACTCTTTAACTTAAAACGAAAAGATCGTGAGTTATCAGGTTATGCAAAACTTTAGTGACTATTGTTTAGCTTTTGGGGTGTTTTTTTCCCTATACAGTTGATCGAGTATTTCGAGAGCCTGACGAATGGCGATATCACATGCGAAGTATTACGGTTCAGAAGCGGCAGTGTACAGGCAGATGTTAACTTGACCTTCCCTGCTAACAACGCCTCTCAGGCACAGAACATCATGAATAATGTCGGAATGGTTACCGCGATGGATATAGGAAACATTATAGTCGACAATGAAACATACTTCCCAACCGCCGTCAGCTCAAATGGTAAGATCAATTTTTTAAACCTATTCCTCACTTTTTGATCTTGGAAGAGTATATCTCGTTTAGGTGTGACGCGGTTAAGGCAGCGTATTTTTTTCTTCCTTGTAATAATAATAATGCAACTGTTTACTTCAGATTTTCGGTATCTGATAACACAGAGCTAAGTGAATTACGGGTAGGACATACGTTGTGCGCAGTTGCCATTCATGTACACGTTATTGAGAGACACTGCCACAGTTTACCTCTTCATACCTAAACAAACCTTTAACAGCCGGGGCATTGTGTCACAAAACCGTCATAATTAAGAACAAGTTCGCCGACATCCCATTGAAATGCGTGTAGATTTTCAATACACACGTTACGTTTTAATGGCATCTCGTTTAACTTGTACTTATGACGTTTCATGAAGCAAGGCTTAGTATTATAATTCAAATACTGAACTTACTTCTTTTTATTTGTACCTGTATGATACTCACTTATCTTACAATTATAATACATGTGAAAGGTAAATTAATATTTTGTTCCCAATGTAATCTTTTGATGACTATAATATACTACTCAGTAATTGATTCATACGACTGCCAATCAATGTGAATGAATTTGAACCATTATTGTTTTTATTGAGTATTTAATTAGCGCCACTTGTGCCAGAGAGGCGTAAAGCGAACTGAGTCACTGCCCTCGGGTCTCTCCTCCCACTACAACGGGTTTCCCCTACTCTTATACGAAAAGTGCAATGGGCTCTTTTCGTGTCAATTTGGCATTTCTTCTCTACACAGGGCTTCCATTTAACATCTTATTCGAGTCGATGAACTGATTAGATTTTGGGGTCACGAGGTCAAGGTCAAAGGTCATGCAGCTCATTATGTATGCAAAAATAGCTTAGAACTGACAGATGGATTACTATTTAACTCAAGACATCTTGCAGAGCCAATGAACTGAGTAGATTTTAGGGTCATGAGGTCAAAGATCAAACGGTCATATATGTATATGAGAAATTGCTTGTAATCACGATATTCTGAGAACCTGTTAATGGATTACAATTGAACTTGAATTAAAAAAAATTCTTTTGTTTTGGTTTGTAAAATCGCTTTATGACGGAGGCATCATTTTCGACTGCATGCAGTCGAAGTTCCATCTAGTTGTCATTGAAAAAAAGCTTTGTGAAATGGGTCCCTGATGTCACTATGTCAAAACAAAGAGATTCAAGAACAACAAAGACATTGGACAAATATTTCTGGTACAATGGCTATTTCTGGTTTCCCTTATTTTATTTCAAAAATTATTTTTGTATTTTTATTCAATGGCAAACTTTAGCAAGATCCTGTAGATGGGGTTGTGCATTTGTATTACCCTGTATTAAACTTCTAGATGTCATTGAGTGTTTGAAACCTCCTGTGGAAGAAAGGTTTTAAGAAAAGGTTGAGTTTTGGGAAAGGATGACAAATAATTTACCTTTTACATTCTTTTTATGCAATTGTGGAAGAGTATCTTGAGAAGGTGTCCTCTGAAAAAGATGGCTAACAATATTCTCTTATTGAAAATGTGACGAGTAATTACGGCTAAGAGTTGCGGACCACATGTTTATGTAGTCCCATATAAACACTTCCGTGTACAGTGCATGTGACTTTTAGCAAGACTGTCAATTTCTTATCAATATGATGATTCCAAAACTACTCAATATACACCAATACTTATTCTGCTACATGATCAACCTTTTACAATCACTTCCACATGCTCTCTTTTGCAATACAATCGCATGTCCAGAACTTAACTTTATCTTTAAATCAAAGATTGCCCGCTGTATTCTTTTTCATCATCCACTGAAAATGAATTTAACCCTTGATTATGTATTATTCAATCACATCTACAATACGTGTAGCCCCGCCTGCACCAATAGAGCCCCTAGTATGTCCCGGGGACCGCGTCTACCTGGAGTGCAACTCTGCATGTCCTGAGTTCTGCGGCCAGTCCTCTGAGATTGCTCTTTGTATTCTGGTCTGTGAGCCAGGCTGTGGCTGCCCAGCAGGAACCGTCCATCTAAGCGAGAACTCCGATGAATGCATTGCTCCAGACGCTTGCCCAGGTATTGATTCACTTAAAGCGGGACTGAACTACTTGTTTCTACTTGCGCCCTCTTTATAGAAAACAATGCCTAAGCGGTACCCGTTGGTCCCCAATGATCCCCTTTTTCTTATGTTAATTGAGAGCTGATTTGATGAGATAACCACCTGTCAGTGACCTTGCAGGGTGGTCTAATCCCTCCTGGCCAAACTAGTGCAGATGGGCTTTAAAATTGGTTTTGATAACCCCATCAAAGTACCCAGGAACTTTTTATTATGCCTCCGTTACGAAGTATCCGGAGGCATTATGTTTTCGGGTTGTCCATCCGTCCGTCCGTCCGTACGTCCGTACGTCCCGTTCTCGTGATCGCGTTATCTGAAGAACCGATTGATGGATTCCTGCCAAACTGTGGTCATGTATGTATCTTGCAGAGCTGATGAACTGATTAGATTTTGGGGTCACGAGGTCAAAGGTCAAAGGTCACAGGGCTCATTATGTATGCAAAAACAGCTCGTGATCGCGTTATCTGAAGAACCGATTGATGGATTCCTGCCAAACTTTGGTCATGTATGTATCAGTCAGACCGCAGCCGGTGCGAAAACCCTCTATTTTACTCAGCACGTATGCAAGAATTTACGTGTCTTGCATACGTAATGAGTAGTGCAGACGGTCTTCCCGATCGGCAGTTTTTGCCTTTATAATTGTTCATTTCTCATGAAATGGGTCTTATTTTAAAGATAAGAAGTTGCGCTCTCTATATACTTATATGACAATCATGTTAGATATATTTTGGAAACAGATATTTCGCCTTGAAAATGGGGTTTTTCGACGATAAATCTATCTAAAGAGTAGGGCTGATTTTCACATAGAAATCATTCTTGCGTCAAGAAGATGTTATAATCAGCATAAAGCATAAATATTTTTCTTTACAATGATATCAAAGTTATTATATTTTACGCTGTACCAAAGTCAGGAACCAAGAAAAATCACGCGAATGTTCATGAATAATTAAAAGAAGTAGTAAATTTTGCCAATGTGATAATAGAGAGTTCTGATTGGTCAACTACGTCAACTACGTCACATATGTTTCGCTTTGGTTTATTAACATTCTGAATACCACATTTTGGTAACCATGCGTTGTGGCGTGCACCTGTAATGCACGTGCGCGCAAGCCGTCTTGACAACAATCTAAGGACCCGAGATCAAATACCTCACCTGCCATGTAGATGATTCTTTTCTACTATATTTCTTTTTTAATCATTTTTCTACTTTTTTTTCGGCTAGTCGATGGCGCGGCGGAGCTCCCTGGAGTTTAATAATCAGTTATGCATTGCCATTGCTCAGACGGCGAGCGTGCACGAGTATGAAATCACACAATTTCGCGCTATCATAAAAAGAACAAATTGGTAATTTCCGGGTTTTTAGGGTCTTAATTACTATGATTATAAAAAGAACATGATTTTGCGTCAATTAGGTTTTGACATATTTTTGATCAGTGACTTTTCATCTTTCGAACGAATCTCGTGGACAAATTGATTTTGTACCAAAGTCAGGAACCAAAAGTGAAATTCCCGGGTCAAAACAGCAGTTGAAATGTTACAAAAATAACGTCAATAAAAGTTGTGAAAAATGATTGTTTACAAATTGCGAAATATGGCAAATTACATATCAAACTGATGCTGAAAATCTCGAGAGTGACTTTCCGTTGCATGCTGCCATGTTGAATGAAGTTAACGACCAAAAACGCAGCTACATGTACACCCCTACAAATCTCACTGAAAATCGCATGGAAATTCAGCAGACGTAAATGTTATGTGATCGCCAGATATCGCTGAATAAAAATCAGCTTTCAGCCTCATTAACGCGTGTGCTGCGATCTGACTGTGTATCTTGCAGAGCCGATGAACTGATTAGATTTGGGGGTCATGAGGTCAAAGGTCAAAGGTCACAGGGCTCATTATGTATGCAAAAACAGCTTGTGATCGCATTATCATTAGAACAGATTGATGGATTCCTGCCAAACTTAGATCATGTATGTATCTTGCAGAGCCAATGAACTGAGTAGATTCTTGGGTCATGGGGTCAAAGGTCAAAGGTCATGGGCTCATTATGTATGCAAAAATAGCTTGTGAACGCATTCTCATTAGAACTGACAGATGGATTACTATTTAACTCAGGACATCTTGCAGAGCCAATGAACTGAGTAGATTTTAGGGTCATGAGGTCAAAGATCAAAGGGTCATATATGTATATGAGAAATTGCTTGTAATCACGATATTCTGAGAACCTGTTAATGGATTACAATTGAACTTGAATTTGAAAAATTTCTTCTGTTTTGGCTTGTAAAATTGCTCTATGACGGAGGCATCATTTTCGACTGCGCGCAGTCGAAGTTCCATCTAGTTTCCTTCTTCTATTTTCTTCTTTAGATTCATCTTTTCAATCTTTTCACTCTTTTATGAGTCTTGTTATGGTTCATACCAGACCAGTAGTAGTAGTAGTATTAGTAACAGTAATACTAGTATAAGTGGTAGTAGTTGTTGTAATGGTAATATAAGAAGAATTTAAAAAGAAGAGGTAGTAATAGTAGTACTTGTAGTAGTAGTAGTAGTAGATGATGTAGTCGGGGTACAAGAAGTGATAATAATCGAAATAAACGGCAACTGATAATCGAGTAAACTATGTGCAGTCATTTTACTATAGGTGTATAGCTCTTTTATAGTATTGCGTTTAACATTTTTTTCCCATCTCAGGAACAACACCTGGAACAACTCCGGGAACGACACCTGGAACAACGCCAGGAACGACACCCGGAACAACACCTGGAACAACACCTGTGACAACACCAGCTTCAACACCTGGAACAACACCTGGAACAACACCAGGTACTACACTAAGCACAACACCAGGTTAGTTCAAGTTTTGTTTGGGGTTTAAAGCTACACACACTACTGAATATAGGTGGAAAGATTTTTAGTAATGAATAAAACATTTATTTTCCCCTCAGAAACAACACCAGGAACAACACCTGGAACAACTCCAGCTACAACACCAGCTACAACACCAGCTACAACACCAGGAACAACACCAGGAACGACACCCAGAACAACACCTGGAACAACACCTGGAACAACACCAGGCACAACACCAGGCACAACACAAGGTTAGGTCAAGTTTTGGTTGGGGTTTAAAGCTAGACACACTACTGTACTTTCAAGGAGTTGGGTTCTCAGAATGTCTTGTGGTCATTGCCTCTGTAAGAAGTTTGAACATTTGTCATGTCCAATGCCAAACAACAACTGATAATCAAGTAAACTAAGCGCAGAAATCTTGAATTTAGGTGCAAAGTTTTGTAGTAATTAATAAAACATTTATTTTTTCCCTCAGGAACAACACCAGCTACAACACCTGGAACAACGCCAGGAACGACACCCGGAACAACACCTGGAACAACACTGGGAACCACACCAACCACTCCCCCACCAGAACTCTATTTCCCATATAGAGATTCTATCCAGGAAACATCTTTCCAGACACCGCTCGATTTCATGACTGTGGAAATAGAAACTGGAATACCTATAGGCGAGAATTCATTGTACTCCTTCCTGACGGTAAGCTCAACTTTTCATTCCTCTTCAATCAAGCCTCATTCAAATATGAAGCGGTATGTGATGATGCATGCAAAGTGTAATCCGCGCTTTAAACTTCTGTATGCTTTGACACATGACTAAGTTAATTCCTGTTTGACCATTATTGCCATTCAATTACATGTTTTTAAAAAACATGCGGCAGTTTATTTTGAGTGGGTTTACCCCGCCGTATCTTAATGAGCCTAATTTACTTTATAGTAATGTAAAAACGTTATGTTGATCGCTGTGTTTGTATATTACAGGGTGCAAAAAAGAAATCTTTAACTTGTCATGAAACAGATTCTTTTTTTGAATAATACCTCCATGCTTTGTCATTCTTTTTCTTCTTGTATTCGCTGGTTGTTTTCAAAGTTAAGGTATAACTCAGAATCAACACTGAACTGGGCTGATTATTAAGGGTATAAACCAGCTTGGAGATAGTTCATGTTTAAAACAAATTACTAAAATATCCACAGATCTTTTAAAATTGAGAAGTCAAGCTTTGTGTAATTTAGAATAATCAAAGTTAAGAGAGGTGCTTGATGAAGTACCTCAATAATTTTCAATTTCAAATTTATTCATGTTTCCAACAAAACATTACAAATCAATTATAAGTATTTAAAACAAATTTAAGAAATACATGTTTGAAACAGAGGGGTCCACTAAAAAGCAATGCTTGTACAAGTGTGAACACCTCAAATGAAACTTAGGAATAATGAGTAATTAAATTAACTAATCTGTAACTACAAAAGGAACTACAAAATAGGGAAAGAAAAAGGGGGATGCCAACAGAGACGAGAAAGGGACAAGACAATACTTTACACGACAAAGATAGAATAATAATAATAGTTTTTTTTTTTTAAATGGTGCTTATAAAGCGCTTACCATGCATGGAAGTCTCTAAGCGCAATAACAAACAAAATACAATGATAAACAATTGCTTATTAAATAAAACAAAAAAGTGCAAATAAACCTACAAATTATAATACATATGAAATATACATCAGTGTGAACAGAGTAAGTTAATCATCAAAAGCAATTTGAATAAATGTGTCTTAAACAAGTTTTCAATTGGTTAACAATCTGACAGTTTTTTAAATTTAAAGGTAATTTGTTTCCAATGTATAGATGAAATTCAAAATATTGGGTTTTATATCTTTAATTATTGTCTGATTTCTGTCTTCTGTCCATCCTTGCGTTTTAGTCAGGTGAGTGCGAGACCTGAAGCTCCAGTATGTACTGAATTTGCTGCTATATTTTTCAATTTGTAGTACCGACCATCTCTTTCATTTTTTTTTTTTGTGTGACAATTTTAGGCCACAACGACAGGAATTATCCATTTTTCCAAGCAACGTCCTACAAGAATGATGCTGACTCAATTTACAAATCCTTCCAGATTCGAGTTAAGAGATCTATACGTATCGGATCCTGCTATTGCCGTGTTTGGGGCACCTGTTGACGCTTATATTGGCAGCCCAAGTTTATATCATGAGGTATGTATGCAGCCCGAGTATATATTATCAGGTATAATATCAGGTAATTCTTTGTGCCACACAAATAAGCTCCCTTCAACGCAGATATCATGAGACATTCATACCAAAAGGCTTGTAGATTTTTTAACTGTCATTATGGAATTGCAAAGCCATTATGTTGCAAAAGGCAATCCTTCTCTCAATTTTGTTTGGAATAGCACATGTGTCAAATGAGCAACTGTGTATATGAGGCAAAGAAAGCACACTATGCGACCCCATTTTTAACACTTTATGTGCCAAGTGGTTTCTTCTCATTTCGAAATTTTATCAAAACATGAACGATGCTTATTCTCAAACAGCTGCATATGGGTTATTATCACAAAGTGTGAGTAAAAAAAAGGTGAACGGTAGGTAATTCATCACCATTGCTAATGATATCTACAATGCCAAATTTTATGTATGAAATTATTAAAACAAAAATTGAAATGTGTTTCCATTTATTCTTCACGTTTCAGTTCCTAATTTTATTTTTTACTATAAAGTAAATTCGAGATCCTGTACAAAATCTACTATTAAAGGCAGCATTTATATTGTTAGATATTTAGAAAGCTTGTTTATAAACATTAATTGGCATAAATTAAACCTTTTTATGCCTCCATTACGAAGTAGCCGGAGGCATTATGTTTTCGGATTGTCCGTCCGTACGTCCGTACATACGTCCCGTTCTCATGATCGCGTTATCTCAAGAACCGACTGATGGATTTCTACCAAACTTTGGTCATGTACGTAACTTGCAGAGCCAATGAATTGATCAGATTTTGGGGTCACGAGGTCAAAGGTCACAGGGCTAAATATGTATGCAAAAATAGCTTGTGATCGCGTTTTCTTAAGAACCGACCGATGGATTCCTACCAAACTGTGGTCATGTATGTAACTTGCAGAGCCAATGAATTGATTAGATTTTGAGGTCAAAGGTCACAGGACTCATTATGTATGCAAAAATAGCTTGTGATCACATTATCATTAGAACAGATGGACAGATTACCATGAAACTCAGGACATGTATGTATCTTGCATTTGGGGTCATGAGGTCAACGATCAAAGGGTCATACATGTATATGAGAAATAGCTTGTAATCACGATATTCTGAGAACCTGTTAATGGATTACATCAAACTTGAATTTGAAAAGAATTCTTTCATTTTGGTTTGTAAAATTGCTCTATGACGGAGGCATCACTTTCGATTCCATCTAGTTCTAGATGGAGCAAAGTGTGATCGAAATACCTAGTCTGTTTGTCATGAGTCTTATATCTAAATGTTAATGCTCATTTTCATGTTTTTCAAGGTGTTCGAAAGCAGAACCCATGCAGGATTTTTCTCAGCACTGAGGAACAGACTAAGAACATTAGAGGCAAGCCCATGGGGCGCGGATAACAATGATGTCATTAATACGCTTAGCACTGCTGTGATGTTTACCTGGAAGGACTTTCAACCTCCCGGTTCAATTGCAGGAGAAGAGGTGAGATAATTCGATCATACGTCAAACTGAATGTTACAAATTCCATGCAAAGTCCATACAAAGGTTAATATCAAAAGTTCATACAAGTTTATCTTTTTTTTCTGAAACAACCTTTTATCTTACACATTTCACATCTGTGTCAATGCGTCAAATACATTAAAAATTGAGAAAAATAGATTTTTATATTTATTGACCCAATGACCTATTTTTCTTTCTCTATTCTGGCTACCTCCTTCCAATTCACTCGGCATTGCAGATGGCGACGTACCAGGCAATAGTATTTACTAACGGAGCAAGAACAGGCGTACTGATGTTCTATGAGCAAGGTAGTTTCAGCTGGGATCCCCAATCGAAGGCGGTTCCAGTTAGGATTGGTTACAATTCTAAGTATACATGGGTGAACCGGTTACTAGAATCCGATCTTATTTCAAGCTACAAACCAGACCAGTCTATTGGATCACAGTCGGGGACTCAGGTATATACAGTAATTATATGATGTTGAATGGCTTTGAGTAGGTCCAGGGTAAATCTCACTAGCTGATGAGCATATTAATTAGAGCTCACAAAAGAGGGTCATTCAATATTATCATTATATGGAGTCTAGTTTCTCAATTTTGCCCATCACATTCCTCTGTTTTTGTATTGACTTAGACATTAAAACCAGAGGGCAAAACATATTTTGTCCTAGCTTATATAGGTTTTGTGCACGTGCATCAATTTTATTTTATTTTATTTGATATCTATATTTATTATTCAATATACACTGTCGCTCATAAAGTTGGAATATTTTTGTTTTACCCCAATTTATGGAATTATTTTAAAAATCTAGATAATAGTATACATTCTCAGATTCTATTGAATAATAATTTGACAATGTGTGTTTTGCGTGACTGCTAAAGCATGTGTATGCTACTATGCCTATATCAACGAGGGGACCTACGCCCTTAAGTCATAAATGACAGTAATGAGGATTAATGCCCCACCAAAGGGCACTAATATAGCACATCGACACGGTTTTGATCCTGGGGCCTCACAGTTACGAGGCCATTGCTTTGTCACTGAACCATGACTGTACGCAGCGGGGCTAGGCCGGTAGGGGGCACTTTCCATAGATAAAACAAAAACAAAGAAAATGCAATAAATTTTCAATAATTTATTGCGTTTTACCCCGGTTCCCAACATAAAATATCTTTTGTGTGCCCATGCCTTGAGCCATAATGCATGGCCGTCCAGAGGATTTGTTTATGCTGGGGACCGGGGTAAAATGCAATAAATTATTGAAAATTTATTGCATTTTCTGTTTTTTTTAAATTTATGGAAAAGGCCCCCTACCCTAGCCCCCGCTGCGTACAGTCATGGTCCAGTGACAAAGCAATGGCCTCGTAACTGTGAGGCCCCAGGATCAAAATCGTGTCGATGTGCTATATTAGTGCCCTTTTGTGGGGCATTAATCCTCATTACTGTCATTTATGACTTAAGGGCGTAGGTCCCCTAATTGATAAGCATAGTAGCATCCACATGCTTTAGCAGTCACTCAAAACACACATTGTCAAATTATTATTTAATAAAATCTGAGAATGTATACTATTATCTAGATCTATTATTTTTAAATTATTTTTAAAATAATTCCATAAATTGGGGTAACACAAAAATATTCCACCTTTATGAGCGACAGTGTACATCAACATACTTACCGTTACAATATTATGATTTTAGATGTATGATAATGACATTGTATATACAGAAAATGGTTTGCCATAAACATACGTTTAAAGTGACCCTTGTCTTAGGCCTATGGCTATGCTTCACATTTCTGTATATCATAGCCCACAGCTAAGTTAGTAATTAGTATGCATATGACCTTATGTAACACGCAATTGCCATTTCACATTTTATACCTTTCCCCTTAAAAAACAATTCAAATATTGTGGCTGTTTTTTGTTTTATTGGTTGAGGGGACAGGGGTTGTTTAATTTGTTTTTGTCTCTTTTTGTTGGTGCCGATTAAAATCGTAAAATCTGAATGAATATGTATACATATCCAATTTCTTTCTCCTTTGTAATTGCAGGGAATACTGATTTACAGACTCGACAACAACCCAAGCACGTTCGTTAACTCAGGTCTGTTCTGCTCTAACTGGTACATGGAAGACCAAGCCACCCTCTGGCCACCCTTGTGGATACGACTTTTATTTACACCTCCATGTCCGTGTACTGTTTGGCAGGCCATATCTGATCGAAGATATCGTTTCTGCAATTACCTGTTTGACCAATCAGAGCTGTCTGTGAGGAATAGTTTTTTTTTTGGTAAGTTTGCACAATTAAGTCCTCAAATCTACTATCCATTTGCTATCAGAGGTGCAATTTTTTCACGTCGCTCGCAAACAGCACTTTGAAACCGGCGTATTCAAGCTGTTTCAAACTTCACCGATACATCGATAACAAATACAAGATTTTCAATTAAAATTTGAACTGAAATATCCATTCATGTAAGCATCGTTTAGGCTTGGCCAACGTTTTTCAATAGGTACCGAGCATCATTATTGTTATTATTATTATTGTTATTATTACTTATTACATTATTATTATTATTGATATTGATATAGGACCTACTATTATTGTACATTTTCATTATTGTCACAATTGTTATTATTGTCATTATCAGTGTTATTATTATTATTGTTATTATCAGTATTTATATCATTGATATTGAAACTACTACTACTGAAACTGTTGTCATTATAACTATTATTATCATTATTATTATGCATGATCGGAACTACACTTTATCTTCATCAAGGTTTCTTCTTCCCATACTGCCAACAAAGCCGATGGCAGTTTTTCGGGGGTAGCTACCGATGTACATACTTCTTTGGGCTTCTACCGGGCTACATAATCGACTTATGGTGGAGTTCTCATTATGAGGCGTATACCTTCTCATTTCAACGGTGGCTTGGTAAGGACGAATCACACAGTTGTATTTTATATGATTTCAAAAGAAAATCACCTTTAAGCCTCGTTCAGATATGAGGCGGTATTAATTAAGTAAGCGTAAATAAGCTTTGCATTTTGTCGCTCAGTGAGCATGCATACCGTAGTTGTAGATAAATATTTCCAGGTTGTGAAAATTACAAATAAAAAAGAAAAATGAATAAATTTTAAATAATACATAAAAAAAAACTGGGTTACCTCTGGACTATTCGTGCTCATGCTATGTTAGTGATGATAATAGTAGTAATGGAATTAGACGAATACTGTACTACTACTACTACTACGCATTAGACTATTACTACTGCTACTACTAATTCCTAATACTACTACTGCAATTACTACTGCTACACTCCTACTACTGCTACGACTGTCTACTACTACTTCTACTACTACCATACTCCTACTACTATGCCCACTTCCAATACTATACTCTACTACTACTACTACTAATACTACTACTACTACTACTAATACCAATTCTACTACTAATACTACAATTAATACTCCTACAACTAAATTCTGCTACTTCTACGTACTACTTGGTTTGGCTTCATAACTTCAGAGCCCTTAAAGTTTATACCAGGGGCATGGGTAGAAAAGGGCAACATTTCTGCACATACCGCATCAATTTTGTTGCATGACCATATTTTGTTGATGCAGGGAATTTTCAAAAGGAAAATTGTCCTTAACTCTCAAATTAGTGACACATTGATAGCTGCTTGGGTTTAAGAATGAGACAAAAATTTTACCCATGTATATTGTTTTCAGAGACATTTATGGGCGATCCCACTTCACAGGTTTTCGCAACCTTCATGGAAAGCCCCGTATATAACCTTTGTAAACATAGTTAAAATTTACAGATACTTTGTATATATTTTTGATTTTTATATTGCGAAATAAAATTGAATTGAATTGAATTGAATTATATTTGATAAGAACAATGTAGCAACACAACGATACACAACGATTTGATGAATAATATATGTTGAAAGGAATAAGCAGTTCTGATCAAGATTTATCTTATTTTGTTCATACAGCAAATGATGTGCTCCCAAGGTATCACTGCTGCCAAGTAGCTGGTGGAGATTTCTGTGATTTGTACGAGGAAAGACGCCCTCCTTCGACATGCTCACGATATAGACCTCCGCGATCTGGTAAGTTTTTTTAATTTAATTTTATATGTCTTATGTTGAAAATAATAATTAGTAAGTATTAAAGCTTCATGGTAAACAAAGTTTCTAAAGTGCATAAAAATAGGCGTTTTGTTGTCGTTCCATATGCATTTACATGTGTTATAAATAAGAAATGCACAAAAGTCACCAATTCAAGCTGCTACAAAACAGCCATAAAACAGGATTTTCACCAAAATAAACAACGAGTCTAAATCATGGATTGCCAAAATAGTCATAAATGGCAAGAAAATAGCTAGAAAACGGCTAGAAAACAATGAAAAAATACAGGTATAACTGATTTTAGCTTACTATCTTTGTCATTTACGTATCTGAAAATCTGATCAGGTATAATCTCGGCAATATATCATCGTAATTGTTTTTGTTTTTCTTTGTATAATGTTGTAAATGTTGAGGTGTTGCTATCTGGACGATGATTCAATAATTCAACAAAGCAAATGATGAATATTTTCATTTGTTCTATCCGGACTTGCTCAGGCTGTTTATACACCTTTCATCAACTTGAGTGCGGATAGATAGTATATAATGAACACAATTGCATACACCATTTGTATACTATCAGTTATATTAATGTTGCATGAGATATCATTTGCCTGGTGTAGGACCATGGCAGCAATTGCCACGGTTGTTTACGTGGCATGACCATGATTAGAGATCGTAGAAGATAGGAACGTAAAATGAATAGTGCAGTCGCTAATGACTGTGAGTTGATTAGATGAAAGGGAGTCACTCGTCAGTTTCCATGTGCAGATCGGAGGCCATAATTTGCTGACATCAGATTTGGTGGATAAAAATCATTAACGTGTGTACAGGTATTAGGTCTGCACACAGCGAACCCGTAGGCCAATCAAGAAATATACCCCCTCGTCTCAGAGATCTCTGGGTGTGGAAAAGTGATATAATAACTTTACCATGTGGGGGAATGGGTGGAAAACGCAGTACGCTACATGGGGCTGCTGGTCATAAAACTGAAGGCCAATTCTGGTGACTGACAGCACCTCTTATTGGGTAACACCCGAACAGTGTTGAATTTCCCATGAGAGCTATAACTACTGAGTGTCTTTAACATGCATGATATTAACCAGGTCAAAAAAGAAACGTCAGGTGTTATGGGCATTAATAATAATTATAGTGATGATGATGATGATGATTGTCAAGAATTACTGCAAGATTGCTTCTATCCTTGTCATATGAACAGCATGGTTCTGGGGCGACCCCCACATCAACACATTGGATGGAAGAATGTATTCTTTCAATGGTCTTGGGGAGTACATTATGTTGGAGTACAACAATAACGATACATTCGTTCTGCAGGCCAGGACTGGCAAAGCCTTCAACAATAGCGAGCCTGTCGAAACAGGAACTGTTTTTACCGGTTTCGCTGCTACACAGAGCATCACAGTGGTAAATCTCGGTTAACACTTGTTCATAGATGCAGCGGTAAACTGCATCGTTTGACCAGATTAAATAAAACAATGGAAGGCCATTCTCGTAACTTAAGAATATGCGTACCCTACCAAATCGTAGTATGTCCGTTGGTCCTCCATTGAGCCAAGGAACCCTAGCTATATTGTAGTCCCGTCTGTTAGTATTTTAGACAAGTTTTTGCACTTGCCAATTTCAATTTATTCATGTTTCCAACAAAACATTACAAATCAATTATATGCATTTAAAACAAATGTAAGAAATACATGTTGGAAACAGAGGGGTCCACTTAAAAGCAATGCTTGTACAAGTGTGAACACAACCGATAAATTTGATGTTGTTATTTCTTTGCCTCTACTTGTTCTTGCCCATCAAACTTTCAGAATATCTTTTTGTTAGTATGTAAAACAATACTTTTATACTTTTTTGGTAATGATCGATTCTTAAAATCTCTTGAAAATTGTGATAAATAATTCTTATTACTGTCGAAAATAAAGTACACAATTCATTTTATATTTTTTTCTTATTATACATTTTCATTTTTTGGGTGATACGTGTGTGTATGCTGAATGTGTTCTCTTTTAAATGCTTTAATAAACAGGTGGAGTTTTCCCTAAATGACAACAGAACGGACATGAGGATTCTCGTTAACAGAACCGACGAGATTACCGACTTGACCGAGTTAGAAGGAGGTGAGAGAGGTGCAATCCAATTCACTTTTATACGTGTCTCCTTGCAAACCAAGATTGTTGTATTGCACACTTGTGAAACAATGAAATGTTGGGTGTCGCGTGATATCTTCTCAGCCAATAGGATGATCCCTAACTAGTTATTTTTGTGTTCATCAAAAATAACAAAAAAAATAATATTTTGGGTTTAAATAGCTTTAAACATATAGAATCAAATTATAACAATTAAATGTTATCATTATACTCCCTCCATTATTCTCTCCGTCGTGACTAAGACGGCTATGCCTCTGCAGATTCTTCGTTTTCATTGACGCGTGAGAATGGAACTACTGCGGACGAAATCAAGGTCAATGCTTACTTTCAGGTTGGTGACACGCCCGCTACGTCTTTCACCGTGACCTTTTCTAACGGGATTCTTCTTGTAACCATCGAAGCACCGCCGGAATACGAAGAAGATGGACCTGGCAGAGGTCTTCTGGGTAAGTAGTCAGTTTTTACACTCATCACACAGGCAATGCATTCCAGTAACTGGTGAGTGAAATAATTATAAAAAGAGGCAAAAGACAAAGACGAAAGCATTCAATTTTATTAAATATTAAGAAAATTGTCATTTCGTTTCTCCAGGCAATATGAACGGCGATAGTTCAGATGATTTCTTGCTCCGAGACGGCACCACTCTCGAGGATTCACTAGCCACAAATCTTACGGACAAGGAGATATTTGACTTCGGACAGTCATGTAAGTTGATCTTTACTGTGTTACGATTGAAAATTCTCAGACTTAACCCTATTTTGACTGGGCTATTTTAGACCAGGTTTTTACTTGGGGGGGGGGGGGTCAATTTGACCCCTCCCCCAAGATCTCAGCCGTTTTACGGCCGATCACCGCAATATTGTGCATGCATGTCAAGTGAAGTGTATAGAATACTATGGTAATTTCAATTTTTTGAAACATTCACTCATTTGCTAATTTATGGTAATTTATGGAAATAAGGTCATCAAATTCACATTTTTACCCATGAATCATGTATTTTTCATATTTTAGCATTCTTTTTCACTACATATATTCGTTAGACCCTTTAGAATAATAATACAAAAAAAAAATTGGAAGAGCCAGGTAATTCCTCATGTTATCTGTTGTTTTGATAATTTCTTATGTATTTCATTGTTTTTTAACTCATGTATTTCATTGTTTATGTTGTTTTATTTCACTTCTAACTACAATTCAACTATTTTGACCCCAAAACAAACACCTAATCTTTAAACAAGACCAAATAACCAATGTTTTATCTCATTTTAGGAAAAAATAATAGTTTCATATGTTTTGTACACAAATCACAAAAATCAGTGATTTTGGGGCTGACATGCAAAGACAAAAGGTCACGTGACTTTGTAACTATACGTCCAATTTTCAAAAAAATTGTTTGTAAAGATGCGTAACACTAGAAAGGAAAACTTTATATCTGCCATGGTTCCGGAGTAGTCGCTAAATTACTACAGGGGGGTCAAATTGACCCCTCCCCCCCAGTTAACATACGTTAAGCCTCGTGCAGATATGGAGCGGTTAACCGCAGGAATTTTGTTAACATGTAAAATTGGAAACAGCGCAACAAACGTCCGCGTATTCACTTGAATTATCCCATATATAGTTAATAAGAATTCCAGGGTAAATAAGCGAGGATAAAAACTTGTCATTTTTATAATTATTCATATGATTATCATTACTAAAACAGTAGTCGAAAAATCTGTCTTTCCTAAAATGAAATCTCCTCATTGCAAACCCCAGAAAAAATAAACGAGGATTAATCCCTGTTGTCCTAAACATACTTTTTGTTAATCATTTATAATGAATTTCTTGTTTTTCCATGTTGTCAAATTATCCTCATTGCTCCTACTATACATTGGGTCAATGATCACCTCTCAAACTATTGCCAAAATAGCCTTTTATGACCTTATCCCAAATCACCTTATTTCTTCATTGCAAACTTCAGGGCAAGTCAGCGAGGCCGAGTCCCTGTTCGAGTACGGCGAGAGGAACTGGACCTACTACAACCCTGCTAATTTCACACCAATTTTCCTGAGTGACCTCAAGGCTCAAGACCCCGAGCGGACACGTGCTGCAGAGGAGGCATGCGGTGATGATGAAATGTGCTTGTTTGACTACCTTGCCGTAAGCCCAGAACTGGGAGCTATGACAATGGAGGCCGGGAATACATTTGATGACAACCTTGCCAACCTAGGTATCGATTCAAGCTTTGCCTCCCATTTTGTCTCGTTTACATAATTTGCAGCGGAAAACCGCAGTGGCTTAAACAACAGCGTTTCTCTTTTTATGCACTAAATAATGAATTGCACGTACGTGGGAATAAATCAGTTTTGTAGATTCACAAAACAAACGTCCAATGCGTATCTGTGTGTCATACAAAGAAATATACAAATACAATGCAGTATGCTCTTAAACATTACCAAAAAAAAACCTTCATAACACAGTAAACTGCCATGTTTACAGCAGCCTATGAGAACAAGCTTCTAAGATTCGGGAATAACTATAACCATTGAATCTATAGGTCTAAGCCAAGAAGGTATTGTATATAGTCTTGGTTAGCATGATTAGCATAGATCTGTGAGCAGCAGGATGTTTAATATCCTTTCTACAAGTATAGAACGATTTCTGTATAATTTGTTGCACAATAATATAATTTTTAGAGTAGGCTATAGTCGTACGTCTAAAAAATGACGCCTCGTTGGCACCTGACATAACATGTAGGAGTCATCGATCATCATCATCATCATCATCATTCATCGATCATCATCATCATCATCATAATTTATTGAAATCACATTTTCCTTCTTACAAAGGATTATCGGTACTGACTTTCCCGCCATGATGACATTCCTTCCCTCCACTTCTTCTTGTCTCAAGCATCCTCTTCATTTAGACAAACCTTTAATACTGCTTTCTTTCTTCACCGCATCTGTCCATGATATCCTCGGTCTTCCTCTCTCTCTCTTATGCCATTCATTTTCAGATCCCAAGCTCTTTTCACAGGTTCATCATCATTTCTTCTCAACACATGACCCATCCATCTCATTAATCCACTTCTCTTTACCACTTCTACCACTGTATCTTCCAAACCCAACCTTTCATATGCCCATTGTGTCCTTTCTATTGGACGGTTTCACACCACATTCCATATGAACATTTTGGGAACATGCCATCTTCTTTGGCTTGCAGCAAGTTTGGGGGAGATTGTGGTGGTGGAGTTAATAAAAGATTAAAGTGTCAACTTCTTTTGTTATCTTCCTAATTCTTTCTCAGAAAATTTCCCGCCGAACGTAACTATGATCACTGATACCAACAATGTTCTTCAGGAAAAAGAGAAAGTACTATGTGTCACAGTTAACGAAACTGTTCAGCTGATGTTTACGGCTGAAGATCCTAATGACGGGGATATGGTCAATTTTACTTTAGCCGACTCTGTTCCAGATGGTGCAACTATCAGTTCTGGTAAATACAAAATATTTTCAATAATTGTAAGGATAAGTAACTTGAGAGAAAAATTAATTTTATTTTTGTGCATATATACGGGAGAGTTCTCCATAGCTACCGGTATGTTACAATTAATCCACTGACCATTTTGCCACTTTGAGATTCACAGATTACATGGTAATCTCAAATTTCTAACGTTTTAACTTTCTTATCAACTTATTATTAGTCAGATTTATTGCACTCATTTGGAATTCTGTTTCTCTTATGCTAGGAGTCCACTGGGCCGTGCCAGTTGGCGCCAGTTTGCGCCAATGCAATTTACTGTGGCGCCTAGTGTCGCCAATAAGGTGCCTAGTGGCGTGTAGTGGCTCAAACTGCCTCCCAACTGGCTCGTGGTGGCCCGTAACGGCACCAAATTTGAATGTGGCGGCAAGAAAATTTCAAAATTTTTGAAATTTTCGTCGCGCCACTTGCATCGAGCAATCAGCGCCAAGTGTCCGCCAAGTGGCACCAAATGGCGCGAACATATCACCCTTTGGCGCAAACAATCCGCGTATTGGAATCCACTGGAATGTAATGGCGCGCGCCAAGTTGCGCCAATGAGATTTCGCGCCACATGGCGCCACTTGGCGCCAAGGGGCACCTTGTTTGCGCCACTACGCGAGCCAAACGGCACCCGATTGGTGACTACTTCGCGCCAAATGCCACCTGATTGCCCGCCATTCGGAGCCACTTGCCGCCTATAACAGCAGGGCGGCATCGCAGGATTTTCTCAGTGATGGCGGCAGTTCCCCAAGCTCTAGGGATGAGGTTGTGCTGGGCATCCTCCTGGTCCAACATGCGGACGTCGCATGCCTGATAGTGCTTCCTGATGACGTTGTGCAGCATGACGGCAGCTTCAATGAGCAGGCGGACTGTGTCTGGTTCCTGTCTCATCTGGCCAACGAAGCACTGGAACCGCCGAGCCAGAATACCAAAGGCATTTTCAACCACACGCCTTGCCCTGGACAGCCTGTAGTTGAAGATCTTCTGCTGTTGGTCCATGTTACGACGGCCATAAGGCTTCATTATGTACGTCCTCATGGCGAAGGCATAGTCTCCCACGAAGTACGGCATAGGGTGCTCTTCATCATCATGGGGAAGAGGAGCTGGATCTGGGATGCCTAAAGTGCCAGCTTCAATGCACTCCTTCAGTTCACTGTTGTTGTAGATCTGGGCATCAGACTGATGGCCAACCCCACCCACATCGATCCACAGGAACTGGTACTTTGAATCTACCAGAGCCATCAGGACAACCGAGAAGAACTGCTTGTAGTTGAAGTAAAGGCTGCCTGATTTGTTGGGCTTCTGGAGACGGATGTGCTTTCCATCATAGCCTCCCAGACAGTGAGGAAGATTCCATCTGGCTTCAAAATCACCTGCAACCTCAAGCCAGCCTTCATTGGTTGTGGGGAGGGAGATGACTTCTGCAGCATACTCATCCACTACCGCTCTGGCTTCATCAGGGACAAACTTCTGGATGGTTTCCTTGCCCATTCGGAAGTTGAAAGACAGCTCGGCATAGGTGGCCCCATTGGCGAGATGGCGCAGGAAGACGGACATCTTGAGACCAGGGGAATGGCCTTCCTGATGTGGGTGTCCTTTTTCTGCAAGTGGGGTGTAAGCCTGACCAACAGGTCATCAAACATCTCTGGGGACACCCTGGTGTAGTTCTTGAACTTCCTCCTGTCATTCTCACTCAGCTCTTCTATCAAAGTGTGGTACTGTCCACGTTCGGCCCTCAACTGTAGGTGGAGCATGGGTCTAAACCACCAGTTGTGCTTCCTTTTCTTCTTAGGAGGCTCTTCTTCTTCAGGATTGGCCAGCATAAGTTGATAGGCAGTGGCCACCTCAGCATCTCTCATCATCTTCTGATGGAGCAGCATCATCACTCCAACATTATCAAAAGCCTCAGACATATCAAAATTGTAAATATTTAGTAGAGATGTTGTTCATACAGCAGCTGAGGAGGGTCTGAACCAGGTAGCCAATGGCCGGTATTTATTTAGTCGGCAAGTAGCGCCAAGCGGCGGCAAGTTCAAACCAATTTGGCGACCTTTGGCACAAACTAATCACCAAGTGGCGCAAAGTAGCCGTCTATTGGCGCGAATGGCGCCAACAGGGTGAATTTTGGAATCAAATGGCCGTGTAATGGCGCAAACTGGCGCGAACTGGCGCAACATTTTGGAGCAAGCCGGGTGGCATTTGGCGCAGGCCATATGGCACCCAGTTTATTCCACTTGGCGACACATGCCGAGCGGACATTAATTCGGCGCCACAGCGAGCCACTACGCGCCAATCACATAATCTTTGGCACGAACTGGCACCAACTGGCGCCGGCCCAGTGGACTCCTAGCATTATATTTTGTTTTATGAACTTATTAATTACAAAGGTTGGGTTAATGACCCTTTGAAGAAATACTGAACTAAAAAGATATTGCCCTAGCATACTGTTTATTGCACAGTACCATTTCATGGTCAACTTGCCGACAGTGCGTAACCCAATGTTAAATTCCCACTTCGCAAACAGAGGACTCGATGCGAGAACCAATTAGAGGAGGCGAGTTGGCTCAGTCGGTAAAGCATCTGCCTGTCAAACCAAAGATCGTTGCTTCAAATCAAACCCAGGCGGATGAATGAAGCCTGTGTTGTGAGTTTAATAGCATGCCCCTCCCCTGTTCATAGACGCAGGCTATATGTTAAGTGTAAAACGCTCTGTTCCGTTCTTTGGATATGATGTTAAGTGGGGGCACTGTGTAGAGGAGAGTCACCACCTTTGCACGTTAGGAACCCACTGCACATTTTGTATACCAGTGAACTAGCTGGCCCACCTACACATCCCTAATCAGTTATACCAGGATGAGAGACCAAAGGGTTACAATGATCCAGTATGCTGTTCGCCTTCAAGGTAGAGGTAACACCAGATATTTAATAATGATAGTAATAATTAACAGGGCAGCTAGGGAAGTAGCGAATTACAGGACCATACTGCTACAGCTGACCTGAGATATGCCAGAGAGGATTTTACAGTATTGGCTCTGTATTGGCTGTATTAACAATTACTGTCTTGTCTTATCTTTCAGATGGCTCTTTTGAGTGGACACCATCGAGTCTCAATGTATCAAGGATTGAGGTCATGGTCAGCGATGACCGAGGTGCGCAAACAGTGGTCTCCTTTAAGGTCAAGATCTGCGAATGCATGAACGAGGGCGTATGTGACTTCCAGACCCAAGCCGTAGGCCAGAATCTCAACGCTAATGGATACGCGGTGAGTTGATTGGTATTTGCATACACTTAACACCGAAGTGCTAATGTCATATTAGCTTGTCGTCCAGATTACGTTAATTTTTTAAGGTTGTCACATGCAATTGTAAATGTGAACAACAGCCATTTCAGGTATCAACACATTTTTTAACCTTAACTTCTTGGAAGGAAACCCCATTCTCACTCACTTTGAAAGTGGTCTTAGTTAGACCGCTCCAGAGGAAGGGTCTTGAGGAACGGTTTGCGAGCATACACACTCCGAGCAGTTTTTAATGGCTCAAACCGCTCCACGAGTCAAAGTGGTCTTGTTGCTATGGCAGCTCAGGTCAGCAGGTCAATTTTTTCACGCGCGGAATACAAACCGTATGTACTGTACTACATGTTTCGCACCGAAGGTCACTAGCTCACTTCCGTTCAAAGTACGCTTTCCGTTCACATTGCACGTTAGAGCGCTCCAAACCGCTCTTAATAAGACCCGCTCCTCAAGACCACCTCGGAAGGTGGTCTTCTGGAGCGGTCCAGAAGTCCACTTCCTGGACCACTTTGACCGTTCTCACTCACCTAAGAACCGCTCCTGAGGAACGGGTCTTACTTAGAGCGCTCCAGAGCGCTCCAACGAAGTGAGTGAGAACGGGGTCGGAAAGTCCCAAAGACGGCAATCAAATTGGTTCTTTGCAGCTCAGATAATGTTTAATGTTTCATTAATCTACTTAAAAACAGAAGTAACAAGTCATTTGTTACACATGTAACATACAAATTTGAGGACTAAATAATGTAGGAATGTATACACTTATTTACATTTGTTAAACATTCAGGTTGTCACGTGCAATTGTACCATCGGGTGGTCAGGTGACCATTGTGAAGTAGAATTCGACGCCTGTGCAGGGTCTCCCTGCTACGAGGCGGTACTATGTATGGACGAACTCGCTGGGGTAACGCCTGAATTTCAGTGTGGTGACTGCCCGCCAGGCCTGCAGGGGGACGGGGAAACATGCTATGGTATGTGGTACCAAATCACTATAGCTTTGTTCTAATTTTGAAACGGTGAACCATTTTATTTAAAAAATTCCTCCCCCCCCCAAAAAAAAAGATAATAATAATTAAAACATATGCCTGAAGCAAAAATCAGAGAAGAGAGAGATAGAGGAAGATGAAGAGAAAGAAGAAGAGGAGGAAGAGGAGGGGGAGGAGGAAATGGTAGTGAAAGACGAAGCAGAAGAATATGATAGCTAGTGACTGGACCTCTGTAAGCTTTCATTTCACTTTATAAGATGTGTAAAATGACATATTTGTATTGGTAAAAACTAAATATTAGCAAAACATATATGTGTATTTCATTAGTCCATATTTGCAACTCTTAACCCAATTGTTAAATGGGTACCTCTCAGGAGTACTCATTGCAATTACGGCTGCCAGAGCTAAAGCCACCCTCCAAACTTCGGAAGCACATAGGAATGGTATTTCAATATCAATATGATAGGCGCTACTCAAAAACAGTTTATTATCATCATTATCACGATTTCTCTTTCGGAATTTAAGATGTCAACGAATGCCAAAGCAACACGACCAACGACTGTGATCAGACCTGCCACAACATCCTCAATGGGTACTACTGTTCTTGCGACGATGGATTTACTCTTTCTCTGGATAAACATTCGTGTATAGGTATGAAGGCAGGAAGACCATGGAACCTAGGGCTCCTGCAGGGCCCTGTTTCATTAACATTTATTATCAATAACAAATGCAAAATTTCTATGGTGTATTTGCTCTCAGTCGATCAAACGCACTAATTTCAGTAGCTTATATTACAGCTACTGTAACATGTCTTTGAGAACAAGTTTTATGAAATAGGGCCTTGGTCCGAGCAAACCATAATTATACTAGTAAATATAGTCCTTTGGCGGTTGATGAAAAATAGACAAGAAAAGAAGAAAAACTAGAACAACCAAAGGAGATACAAAATATATAAATTTTTATTTTAAAGCGTTTGTTAAAAAATGACAAATTTATTAAAATCCAGCGTTCTTCAAAAACTTGCGAGAGGGGTTCAACAGTTACTAAGTGCGTAATATCACTTCTTCTAATCTTATATAAGAACTGAATTATTCATATCCCTTGTATATTTGATGTTTATCATATGTTATTCGTAACTCAAGAAAGGTGGACTAGTTGAATTAGAGCCATCGTTGGATTCTCAAGAAACATTATCATAGGCATGTCAAACATTAACTGAAGTTCATGTGCATGGTGTATACACTATTTTGAATTCACAGGAAATTGTTAATGATCTATCCGCGAAAATCAGAATGAAAATAAGAATGATAAAAGTTGTCATAAGTCTTCCTATCTTTATGAAGCATAAACATATGTATGCCTCTTCAGAATCCTGATGAAACTAATTTGTAAGTGTTTTTATAACATATATTGTATTCCTTTTTTCTTAATTTTTTAAACAGACAACGCAGGTTGTACACCTACTGCAATGAACAATACTGGTTCTCCAAATTGTACATGTGACCCTGGTTACGAGTTTGATAATGGAACCTGTTCAGGTGAGATTTCTTGAAATACATGTGTATACATATAAGTTATGTAAGATTATATCTATATACGCTTCATCATCCAGATGTTATAAAACCATAAATTACAAACACGATAGCAACTAAGTTCGGAAACTCAACCTAACACAATTTCAATAGCTGTGTGCATTGCCTATGGAAATGTGCGAACATGACAGTGACTTACCTATTCCGATTATGATTTCTGAGGATTGAAAGCACATCTTACTACTTGAAAGCAGAATACATTTAGCCAACCCTTATTCATGCAAAACTGATGAAAAGTATCTGAAGTAGAACATGTATCTAAAAACATATATATTTTTAAAATATAACTGCACTATAACATCCAAATACAACGAATGTGGGTAATTTTATTAATGTCTGAACAAAGTGATGTGTATTATTTGTTTTATAAGATGATATTTTATAACATGATTTTACTAATGACCGGTCATTAGTAAAATTATATGTCAGGCAAAAACATGAGTATGCTCTCAACCAATCAATTGATAAGGATCCGCTTCATCATCTTATAATTCTTTATAATGTTCAAGCGCTGTGATGGTAGCCATGCTAAACCCGAGGTAATACAAATTGAGCGCCAGGAGTGGCAATGCATGTGCCAGACATGAGCACTATACAAGACTTTACTATCATTGTTATTATTACAACATGCCTGGAGTTAGATATTGTAAAAAGAAACATATATTTGTATTAGATGCTGCTTATAAGTATTTGCATGCATGGTGATACAGTCAATAAAGAAAGATTACAGACAATCCTTTTCAGGACTCCCCAATCCACCCCCTCTCTCACATGGTGCAACCTATAAACCTTTAAATGTTTTTTATGTTTATGCAGATTTTGATGAATGTTCGGAAGGAGTTCAGAATGACTGCCCTGAAGTTTCAACATGTATAAATACAGACGGGGACTACTTTTGTAACTGCATGGATGGATATAATACAGTCAACGAAACAAAGTCATGCGAAGGTAAATACAACCATTACATGTCATAAACATATCGTATTGAGAGAGATAGTTGTGACATGCCCACGCATATGATCCTTGAGTGGCGTATGCGTGTGCTCGTCACAACCTTCTCTTAAAATACGCTACAGTCATAAGAGTTTGGCGACATTGATTATAATTAGTAGTAGTAGTAGTAGTAGAAGTAGTAGTACATGTAGTAGTAGTAGTAGAATTAAAAACATGTGTTATTGGATTCCCATTCTGTATTTAAAAAAAACATGCATTTTTATATATTGATTATAGATAATTGATGATTAAGTTGTTGATTTTTATATCATCTTTTAAAACTTACAAATTCATGTGCATTAATATTACATTTACATTTGATTCATTTACATTCAATAAAATTTATACAATGCAATACATGACATTGTGTAGAAAAGGAAAGCAATTTAAAAATATGCTTGATTTATATATGAACAAGATGAACATGATATTGCAGGGTTACAGCATATATCAACATGAATCTTGATGAGCTTGCAGCCTTCAGTTAAGCTAAAGATTAGATATAAAAGGTCGGGAGTGACTTGCTGTTATAATAAAAATATTAAAAAAGGGGGATGAACGCTTGTTTTCTAACTACAATAACAACACCTGTTGATATAATGAGACGACTTAATAAAGTGAATGATTATAGGGGTTAGCCTACATGTTGCTTTGTAGTAGTTAGGCTATTTGCTGTTACCTATCTGATAATCACATACCAGCATTATCTACATAGCTTTGGCTATTTTAGGCATGTTTAATTCATTAATGTTTCATCCCTTGATTATTATTTTTTGTATGTTATCATTTTGTATCTGATTCACATTTGCTTTTTTATCTGGTATTGATACGATTATGTCTTTTAACTGCAAGACCAAGATTCGAAACAGTGCGGCAACTGATCTTATTGCTAAATAAATGTGTTTGAATAAATGTAACATTTGATTTGTCCCCATTAGATATCGATGAGTGTGCTACTGGCAACCACATGTGTAACGGAAGTTTGAATCGTGTGTGCATGAACACCGTGGGGAACCACACCTGTATCTGTAACACAAGTTATGCCCTTGTCGACGGATCATGCGAATGTAAGCTTTGATATAGTACAATATTTTCACATTTATTTAGGTACAAATATTTAGATTCTGGCTCAGTTTACACTTATTTAAAAAAAACTTTTATACATTAACCATGTAATTGATTTCATGCAAACAAAAAAAGGCTAGAAACATAGGTCAGATTCCAGGAGTTAAACAAAAAATCAAGGAGTACACAATGTCAGTGCTTATTTATCATAGATTTTGTTAGTAAGTCAACTCCCTGTCTAACCTAGTGTGTGCTTGTCTGCATAGAAACTTAAATCTCACCATTTAAGGGATCCGGTAACTTTGTCTTAGACCCTTTAGAAATAATCCTTGAGCTCATGCTGCAATGATAATTATAAACCTTAAGGTCAGTCAGGAACTCCATGACTTTTACAAGCCGATCGCCTGTCTGATTATCAAGATATTTATGATTGGAATTACAAATATTGAAAAACGTTCGCTGAACGGTTTTCATAACACTACAGTCTATTGGGGAAAACGGTCACTCAAAGATTTTTACTTTTTTGAGGCACTTCTTGATCATTTTGAAGCGCGATTTTTTTAGGGCTTCAATATTACACCATATCACAGACACTGGTAACATGTAGGACCGTGTATCTCAGATTTAACATTGTTAAACGATCCCTTTAATCGGGAGGCGGGTATCAAGGAAACACATTCCTGATAGAAAAAATGTTAAAGCACCTTTAAATTGCCGTCCTTTCCAAAATATCTCCCGGCTATGCTTCTTAATATTATAGTACCATGCCTAAAGAACGTTTGACACGTTACAAAAAGGAAGGAAGGAACTTTAGAATATAGCCGTAGAGTAGCATTAGTGTGTGTGCATGAGGTGGAGAATAGAAAAACGTAGATCGCGAGATTCCTGTAAAAAAAAAAACCTTTCCGTCTTTTGGACTCCGAGCTTCAGGTCCCTCAGGGGTAAAACCTGCGTGCATGAAGTGCATGCGCTCAATCATTTGACTACCTCGTTCTTAGGTCAACAAGTTGCAGCTTTTCGCAACACAACGTTTTGCTAATCCATCTAAAATTCATTCAGCTTTCATTTGATATTTCTCGTGTATTTCCAATAATGCTTTCGCTTTGATATCAACTAATGAGGTGAGCTGACTGCTTTAAAATGTATTTCATATAACTTTTTACTGATAGCTGCTAACTCGTACACTCTGGAACTGAGGTTTGACTTCATCAATGACATAGCAATCCAGCATTATACAGACACTGAACAAAACCGGAACCGACTAGCTGAACAGGTAAGACACATTATCACATAGTAGTTCTTGGCATCTACCCGATTGCTAAACTTGTTGCAGGCGCCAAGCAATGTTAGTGTGTTTGTATTTGGATTTTTGCAGACGCAAATCAATCAGATATGATTTTTTTACGTCTGGAGACCAACTTTTAACGTCACCAGCTGGAAGACGTGACTCAGTTTTGAACCAGATTTTAGGTGAAAAAAGTGAGAGCTGACCAAGTGAATATACCACTAGACCAACGCCAATCTTTATCCTGTCATATTAAAGGATATTTTCTACACACCTTCCTTCGTTTCTTTTTTTAAACAATGATAAATGCCAAATGTGAAATTTCTATGACAAATTTGCTTTCATGCAATCAAATACCATGACTTCAGTAGCTTATAATTATACAAATTATTGTAAGTTAATTATTATTGATAACAATTTTTATGAAAAAATATGGCCTAGTAATCTTTATTAAATTGATATTGTATTTAATTAAAAAAATGAATTTAAACCAACCTATAATATAATGTTAACCTATTGAAAAGAAAATAACAGGTATAATTTAAGCTTTCTTTTTAAATAATTTAGAAATGAGATTTCTTTTAACGAGGAGGACAAAGAATTCCATACAAACACTTAAAAAATGGCAAAACGATTTTTATGCCTCCGCTACAAAGTAGCCGGAGGCATTATGTTTTCTGGTTGTCCGTCCGTCCGTACGTCCCGTTCTCATGATCGCGTTATCTCAAGAACCGATTGATGGATTACCGCCAAACTTTAGTCATGCATGTATCTTGCAGAGCCAATGAACTGATTAGATTTTGGGGTCACGAGATCCAAGGTCAAAGGTCACAGGGCTCATTATGTATGCAAAATAGCTCGTTATCGCGTTATCTCTAGAACCGATTGATGGATTCCTGCCAAACTTGAGTCATGTGTGTATCTCGCAGAGCCAATAAACTGATTAGATTTTGGGGTCACGAGGTCAAAGTTCAAAGGGCTCATTATGTATGCAAAATAGCTTGTGATCGCGTTATCTCTAGAACCGACTGATGGATTTCTGCCAAACTTGAGTCATGTATGTATCTTGCATAGCCAATGAGCTGGTTAGATTTTGGAGTCACAAAGTCAAAGGTCACAGGGCTCATTATGTATGCAAAATAGCTCGTGATCTCTAGAACTGATTAATGGATTCCTGCCAAACTTGGGTAACGTATGTATCTTGCAGAGCCAATGAACTGATTAGATTTTGGGGTCACGAGGTCAAAGTTCAAAGGTCACAGGGTCATTATGTATGCGAAATAGCTTGTGATCGCGTTATCTCTAGAATCGATTGATGGATTCCTGCCAAACTTGGGTCATGTATGTATCTTGCAGAGCCAATGAACTGATTCGATTTTGGGGTCACGAGGTCAAAGTTCAAAGGTCACAGGGCTCATTATGTATGCACAAATAGCTTGTGATCACATTATCATGAGAACCAAAAGACAGATTACTATCAAACTCAAGACATGTATGTGTATCTTGCAGAGCCAATGAACTGATTAGATTTTAGGGTCATTAGGTCAAAGGTCATGGGGCGCATTAAGGATGCCTATAAATAGCTTGTGAATGCATTATTAAAGACGACAGATGGATTACAATCAAACTTGAATTTTAAAAGTTGCTTCCGTACGGTTTGTAAAATTGCTCTATGGCGGAGGCAACATTTTCGACTGCGCGCAGTCGAAGTTCCATCTAGTTTATTTTTTTGGATGACTGGATGTTTATTTCCTTTTTTGAAATTTCTATGAGTATTAAAGTTATGAACTTGGTGGTTTAAAGAAAACTTGTTCAAGAAGAAACCCTTAGAATATGTCTTGACTCGAAATACTTGACCCATTACAGGTGTTTGACCAGCTTAACAGTACATCTGTTATAGGAGATGGGAACCTTGCAGATGTTATTGTGACTAATTATACCGTGGTCGGTGGCAACGCTTTTGTAGAGTTCCGGATCGACTCGTTCAACTCTGAACTGAACGCTACCTTCTTAGATTCTGTGTTTACTGACTCCCTTCCGCCTAACCGAGTATTTGGTTTGAATAACCGGATCGTTGAACAAGGTGAGATATGTTATTATGCCTCCGCCACACATAGTGAGCACCAGAGGCATTATGTTTGGGTTGTCCGTCCGTCCATAATTATTTTTGTGAATGCGGTATCGGTATTAAACTTAAGAACGAAGCAAAGTATCGATCATAGCAAAACTTTGTGAGAGTATGTATGTATTACCATTTTCGGCTCGTTTTCTGTGTAAAAAATCAACGGGTCTGGCAACAGAGCTTTATTAACATGTCACAATATGGCATACCGCCCTCTCCTAATTTTTGGTTTAAGGTCATTTTTCTAAGGAATTTTATCTTTCCAACCATATGAAACTCGTTTTGATTGGTCAATGTTATCCCCCGCAACTCCAAGATGTAAGACCATCACATCTTTGCCGAGTGAAAGCGATTTCAGAACCCAATTGTATGTCCCTCAGAAATCATGTTCGGATTTGTAATACAACATTATCATGTTTAAATAGTTGACAAACAGGCTTTTGAAATTGCATTTATTGTAATAGGTTGATTTTTTAAAAGTAGTTCTTATCCTGTTTATACATTTGAACACTGTAATTGCCAATACTACCGGTACTTAGAAATGTACTTACAAACGGTAGAGAAAACCATATTATTATAATCTATATTCTTGATACTTTTTTCATCTCACACGTATGTTGTAGACGTCAACGAGTGCTTAGTGTTCACTGATGCTTGCCGTAATGGGAATTGTACGAACACCTACGGGAGTTTCTACTGCACGTGTAACGAAGGCTTCCTAGGAACGGGAACAGATTCTTGCGAAGGTAGAACATTTTTTTTATAATTGTTACTGGAGGTATAATGAGAATTAATCTCCTTCAATTGAAACCCTTAAAAATGAAATCGTTTATCTCTTATCTTGCATCTAAACAGATGTCTTGCTTGTCATGATTACTCAATTATACATCCCTTGTTTCCCATGCTATTTGAATTTGCATTATTACTTATTGGCTTCGCTTAAAGAACTAAAGTTTTTTTGCTGACACTTTTGTATGATAATTCTTAATAATAGAATAATGAAAATATATATGTAGTATTATATCAACCAATTAATTGATTACAGATTATATTTTTCCCGATTAGTTCCTGTTTGTAAAGCTGCATTTTATTATTTCAGTGTTTCTTTAAATCCAAAGTACAATTATGATTTTACCCAACTCCCCAAATGTCTAGTTGAATACCTACATTTTGATAGTATGTTCTTCTAATAGTGTTTGTGTACCTATATGTTATGATGTTCGTGATGGTATACAAGTTATATTTAAGTATTTAACTATTTAATTTAGTTTATTTTAGTTGGGTAATTAGTTTGCAATTTCGCAATTGGCCGAGATGAAATGTTACTAACAACATATTTCAATTCAATTCGACTCAACGTCAACATGTTCTGAAGGAAAGAAAATACTGAAACAAACATATTTTTTATAAATATATATATATATAGTGTACATTAGCCTTATTATGAGGACTGAGTAATAGATAAGCACAGCTCTGCTATAACATGAGAAAAGCATGGGAAATCGATGTATACTTTAATGTTTCAGAATCAAAATGATGAGTAATCGACTAAAATCTAGCTAAAGGTCTTACACACATCATGCACGTGTGCAAGCAGAGCCCCGTTTCATGAAACTAATTATCAAGAGCAAGTTACAAATAATTGTTAAAATCTATTGAAATCGTGCCATTTTATTGGCTGAGAGAAAAATTGTCATAGAAATTTAGCACTTATTTGTTTATGAAATGTGGCCCAGAACGAAAGTTTGGTCCAAACATTCTTAGCTTTTTAGTGTCATATAGTGGTAATAAAGGCATCTCAATATCAATCTTTGTCAGTGGATATTCATTCAATGATATTCTTCCAAATAAATAATAAAAAACTCACAAATTAATTTGAATCTTTATCAAAACTCAATTTTCTCTTTAAATCTATGACAATTTTTGCAAATGCCTTTGTAATATACTTTGTGTTTTTGATGAACAGATATAATAGAATGTCTGGGGGAGAATGACTGCCAGCAAATATGTTACAACGAGGAGGGTGGATACTCATGTGCGTGCTGGGATGGATACGAGATGGATGGTAGCGGATTTAATTGCACGGGTAGGTTCAATGAAGCAAAAATTTACTGTGAATGTGTTTACATGCTCCATTGCTAAAAATGAAATCTTTTGAGTTTTAAAAGTAACAGTACTATGGGCATAATATATTCACCATTATCACTGTTGTTAAGAGATTTCCCAAGTTTAAATACACTGTTAAGTATATAAAAGCAAGTTGTGAGTAAATTACCTGACGCACTCGTCCACGCTAGATTAAAAAAAGAGCTCGAACGGAATCCAAGTCCAACTTTGGTTTCGGGTGCGAGGTTTAATATTTATATCCTTTATTTTCTTCGTACTCTTTGTATGTTTGCCATATAATTGTTGAACTTTCTGAATATACACGAGTAGAAATCCACTCTTTGCAGAGTCTTATTTGTCGATTTTCACTCACTTTGTAGTGGAAATCAACGTTAACAATAGTGTAATCCACACTCACAAGAATACTTTATAGGCGAAGGCCACTAAAAAATAATTTGCTTTAAATAGATGCACAAAAACACGAGATACAGAGAACAAAATAATAAGTAAAATCGGATAACTAATAAAGAAGTTATGACCTTTATTCAAAGTATGAAAAACTATGGAACTTTTTTGAAAATCACTACACAAATTGCTAATTTGGTTATCCGTTTGTGACGTCATTGTCTCACTTTTTATCAACTGCTCTAGTTATTTTTATCACATTCATTTCCCTTTTTATCCCCCGAAACTTGATTACCCCCGCCTTTACCCAGGTAATATGATGTGTATCATCTTTCAAAAAAATCATACTTTTTTCTGAATATTTGTCATTCATAATCATTGATTTTTATATAAATAGTTTATCAACATTCACATTTGTCATAATTTTAACTAAAACAAATTACTCTTTATTAGTGCATCTACACAAAAACATATTACTATCATAAACTTGGATGCTGGTGTGAGGAAATAATATTTTTAGGGGGGAAATTAGAATTTTATATAATCAATATAAAGAACAAAATTGGTGGATAGTGAGGCATTGACGTCACAGACTCATGAGTGAGTTGCCAATTTATCTTGTGTTTTTCAAAGCTTTCATGTCATTAACAATTCATAGCTTTCTTATTAGTTATCTGAATTTGCTCAAACTCTTTGTATTACATGGTTTTGTAATAATTCATTGTAACGATCGCACGTTGCAATAGGTGATGGTCAAGGCTAGTGAAATCATCTTGGGGTGATTTTTTAAAAGTCTTTGTGATCTTGAAATCACAATACGCAAATGTCAGATTGCCAAATTCAAAACAAGAATGTTTACTTCTCTTAGATATTGACGAATGCTCCAGGAATTCATCTGCCTGTGAAAATGGAATGTGTATGAACCTGGTCGGCTCTTTCAACTGTTCATGTAACTCTGGATATGAATTAAGCAATGACAACATTACTTGCAGTGGTAAGGATTTAATGGCTTATTATGTACCTATATGTTATAATTGTCATGATGGTATATAATTTATTTTTTAGCATGTAACTATTTAATTTAGTTTATTTTAGTTGGGTAATTAGTTGGCAATTTGGCAATTGGCCGAGATGAAATGTTATTAACAACATATTTCAATTTAATTTGACTCAACGTTAACATGTTCTGAAGGAAAGAAAATACTGAAACAAACATATTATTTATAAATATATATATATATATATAGTGTACATTAGCCTTATTATGATGACTGAGTAAAAGATAAGCACAGCACATGAGAAAAGTATGGGAAATTGATGTATACTTTAATGTTTCAGAATCAAAATGATGAAGGCATCAGAAGATCAATTCTTGTCAATGGATATTTCTTCAATGATATTCTTCCAACTAAATAAAAAGAAACTCACAAATTAATTTGAATCTTTATCAAAAATCAATCTTCTTTTTAAATCTATGGCAATTTTTGCAAATGTCTTTGTAATATACTTTGTGTTTTGATGAACAGATATAAACGAATGTCTGCAGGGGACGAATGACTGCCAGCAAATATGTTACAACGAGGAAGGTGGATACTCATGCGCGTGCTGGGATGGATACGAGATGGATGGTAGCGGATTTAATTGCACGGGTAGGTTTGATCAAGCAGAAATTTACTGTAAAAGTGTTAATATGCTCCATTACTAAAAATGAAATTTTCTGTGTTTTAAAAGTATCAGTATGGTCATAATATATTCACCATTATTGCTTTTGTTAAGAGATTTCCCAAGTTGAAATACACTCTTAAGTATATAACTCATTGTAAAGGTCGCACATTGTAAAGGTCGCACGTTGCAAGAGGTGATGATCAAGGCTATTGAAATCATCTTGGGGTGATTTTGTAAAAGTCTTTGTGATCTTGAAATCACAACACGCAAATGTCAGGTTGCCAAATTCAAAACAAGAATGTTTACTTCTCTTAGATATTGACGAATGCTCCAGGAATTCATCGGCCTGTGAAAATGGAATGTGTATGAACCTGATCGGCTCTTTCAACTGTTCATGTAACTCTGGATATGAAATAAGCAATGACAACATTACTTGCAGTGGTAAGGATTTAATATAAAATTAGTGTCACCTTTTCATCGCATATTTAAAATCTGAATATGAAATGAACACTGACGGTTTTGCGTTAAAAGGTAAGGATGTAATATCACCTTAATGTCACCTTTAGGAGAAGCCGGAACATTTGATCCGCTTCTGTTACGTTTTGCATTTATAATAAAGAGCGATTTGATTAAAACTAATCATTACACTCTCTCTAAATTAGTAATGCAGAGTGAAACTTATTAGCACTATTTTCGTGAACAAATCTGTAATTTCTTGTTGATTTTTCGTTAACAAATTTCACGAAATTTCATTTAACTTTTTTGTTTAAACTATGAAAGAGTGGAGATAAAAGTAAATGTTGCCAATTTAAACGGAAAAGCCGATTTATCTAGATCTTTATAAAACTCTAAACTGTTGTTGGTGAAGAAAAAACATGTTTGCTTTTCCTAGATATTAACGAATGCTCTGCAAGTCCATCTGTCTGTGATTCTGAAAATGGAGTGTGTACGAACTCAATTGGCTCTTACAACTGTTCATGTACCCCTGGATATGAATTAAGCACTGATGGTATTACGTGCAATGGTAAGGATGCAATTTCAAATCAGAGTCACCTTTTGGAGATACTGGGAATTTAGATCCAATTCTGTTCATGTTGTCGTTCATGAAAAAGAGCAATTTAATTAAAAGTAATCGTATAACTTCCTAAATTAGCAATGTCGGTAGGGATGTAAAGAATTTGAATTGATTTACAAAGATTGTAGAGGGGTTCAACAAAGCTGTTTCCACACAGATTATCATTTCTGCATTCAGAAAATAAAGAAAGATAATACTTTGAAAGATTTTGTTAAATTTGTTGTCTCTCAAGATTTGTGAACTTTGGTCACACCACTTACAGGTGTTTGATTAAGAATTAGAAGGATTGTTCAAGTTTTAGTAAAACACTTGGCACAGCAAGAGTAAGAGGGCGATTTGACAATGGGACTTTACCCATTTGTGTGAAAAGTATTGGAGAGATATTGAGAAAATTATGAATGTTTGAAATATGAGATCATTAAGTCTATGCAAACCTCAAATTGGCCATTTGGTCGGTGGATTGTGATGTATTCAAGATTTACAATCAACTGCAAAGAGCTTTGTCCTTTTTAGGGAAGGAGTTTGTCCTTTATAGACAAGGTTGCTTCAAAAGCTAACTTACAATTGTGTAATAAAATGTATTTATCGTGGAAAACGATACTGTATAATTCAGATGTAAATGATGTGAATAAATAGTTTTGTATTATGTAGAATAATTATATTTTTGGGGTCTCTTTTCCAGTGACATCAGGTGCCACAACCATGCAGCCAGAAACAACACCTAGTGCCACCTCACAGCTTGGTAAAAGAATAAGTTTAGTAAACACATTTCACAATAACCAGTGTCTTAAATGATTAGTACAAAAAATGAATCAAGTAATGATGGCATTCTTGCCATCAGTAAAGGTTTTAATGAATTTGAATTTGAAACCATGTGAATATATGGTGGTATATACTGTAGAATAACTATACCTTCTTTGTCTGTTTTCCAGCTTCACCAAGTGCCACATCCATGCAGTTTGAAACAACACCTGGTGCCACCTCACAATTTGGTAAATGACTGATCGGTACATATAATAAATCAAGTATAAATGATGGCATTCTTGCCATCAGTAAAGATGTAATGAATTCGAATTTGAAATCATGTGAATATATAGTGGTGTATAACTGATCAGTACAAATAATAAATTAAGTATTGATGGCATTCTTGCCATCAGTAAGGATGTAATGAATTTGAAATCATATGAATATATAGTTGTGTATAATGTAAAATAACTATACCTTCTTTGTCTCTGTTCCAGTTCCATCAAGTGTCACATCCATGCAACCTGAAACAACACCTGGTGCCACCTCACAACTTGGTAAAGGAATAGGTTTAGTACTAAACAAATTTCATAATTACGGGTGTCTTGACTAATTAGTACAACAAATGATTCAAGTAATGATGGTATTCTTGGCATCAGTAAGGATGAAATGAATTTGAATTGATTTACAGAGATCGTAGAAGAGGCCAAACAAGCTGTCTCCACACAGTAATCATGGCATTCTTGCCATCACTAAGGTTTTAATGAATTTGAATTTGAAATCATGTGAATATATAGTGGTGTATAACTGATCAGTACAAATAATACATCAAGTAATGATGGCATTCTTGCCATCAGTTAGGATGTAAGAATTTGAATTTGAAATCATGTGAATAATTATAGGTGTATATAATGTAAAATAACTATACCCTTTGTGTTTATTTTCCAGTATCATTAAGTGCCACAACCATGCAGCCACAAGCAACACCCAGTGCAACCTCAGAACCTGGTAAAGGAATAGGTTTAGTATTAAACATATTTCACAATTACGGGTGTCTTGACTAATTAGTACAACAAATGATTCAAGTAATGATGGCATTCGGGGGATTGGTAAGGATGTAATGAATTTGAATTGATTTATAGAGATTCTAGAAGAGGCCAAACAAGCTGTCTCCACACAGTTTACCATTTTTGCATTCATAAATTTAAGAAACCATGCTTTTTTGAATTATTTTAGATTCTTTGTCTCTCAAGATATGATGTGCTTGCATGAATATCATAGGAGTTTTAACTCTTGATGTTACATTTATGAGAGCCTAGTAATGTATATTATTGATGTTTTGTATTGTATGTATGTTTTGTAAACTTTGTCTCAGGCCTCAATCTGCATGTAAACGAAACAAATATCCCTGCTGAAGGAAAATTGGACAAATAATACATTGAATTAGATCGTTTAGGAAATAAATGAAGCGTTCTTAATATCTAAGATTTATTATATTGTGATATATAATTTTGTTGTCGTGCAAACTGCAAACTTTGCTTTTGGTTATCCTCAACGGTATAATTTATTACTTGTAAACAAATGATAAATTAACATGAAAAGCACTAAACAGATACTCACTTTTTCACAATAATGATATTAAGTGTGGTTTTCATTAGAATGGTAAAATATCTTTACTACTTTTGCACACATAATTTTGTAATTTAAGACTTAGTACATGAAGCATGGTGGAGTTACCAAAGTTCGCGAAGATAAATCATATTAAGAAATGTGTTTTTTGGTCAAAAGTCTTTCATATTCTACACACATTTATGTAGTTCAATCTTTGCCTAATGGTCTTCAAAGTTTCTTACTAAAAATTGGTGTAATTAGGAAATGTTTCGTGAAAAAAATACGAAATTATCGCGATCTAAGAATTCGATGTCGGACAAGAATGCGCTGAAACTTGCGAAAAAATCATTTAAAAAAAGAGACTCTAATTCTCGGACGGGAGTTTACAGCTTATTTGTCACAGAAAGACATCATAATTGCAATCATAATTGCCTGTTTCGTGAGGCAGAATATCATAGATGACCTGTGTAATAGAAATGAAGTCATCGTGGATTACAATATTGCGAAATTCAGATGTTGATTATGTAACAATGTACTATTGTATTATGTAGAGTCAGTATACCCTTTTGTGTTTCTTTTCCAGTGTCATCAAGTGCCACAACCATGCAGCCACAAGCAACAACCATGCAGCCACAAGCAACATCCAGTGCCACCTCACAACCTGGTAAAGGAATAGGTTTAGTACTAAACAATTTCATAATTACGGGTGTCTTGACTAATTAGTACAACAAATGATTCAAGTAATGATGGCATTCGGGGGATTGTTAAGGATGTAATGAATTTGAATTGATTTACAGAGATCGTAGAAGGGGCAAGACAAGCTGTCTGCACACAGTTTTCTATTTTTGCATGAGAAAAAAAAGAAATACGTGCTTGTTTGGTTTCGTTTAGATTGTTTGTCTTTCAAGATCTGTTGTGCCTTGCAGTAATATCAAAGGAGTTTTAACTCTTTACTTGCCGATGAAACATTTATGAGAGCCTTTTAATGTAAAACGTTGATGTTTGGTATCATATATATTTTGTGTAAACTTTGTCTCAGCCCTTAATCTGCATGTGAGCGAAACAAATATCCCTTTTGAAGGAAAATTGGACATATATACATTAATATAAATTATTTAGACCATTTAATAAAGCATTCTAAATATCTAAGTCTTACTTTATATTGCTATATAATCAGTGGCGTACGCAGGATTTTTTCAAGGGGGGGGGGGGTTTAACATTTTGAAATTTGGTCCCAAAAATTTCGCAACGACTCAGCCAGCCGCTGAATAAGCGGGGGGGGGGGGGGGGGGGGGGGGTTTAACATTTTGAAATTTGGTCCCAAAAATTCCGCAACGACTCAGCCACCCTCTAATAAGCGGGGAGGGGGGAGTAAGAGGACATACTTTATTGGGGGGGTCCCGAAATTTGAAAATTTGACCGATCGACTTTTTTTTCTTCTGAAAATCATACACATAAAAAACTCAAGGGGGGGGGGGGGGGTTTAACCCCCCTCCCCCTGCGTACACGCATGTATATAATGTTTTGGTCGAGAAAACTGCAAACTGTGTCTAAGGTCATACTACCGTTACATTTATCAGTTGTAAACAAATGAGGAACTAACAGAAACTCGCTTGTTCACAATAATAAATTAAATTTGGTTTGCATTGGAATGGTGAAATATCTTTACTACTTTTGCACACATATTTTTGTAATATAAGACATGGTAAATGAAGCATGATGGAGTGACCGAAGTTTACAGAGATTAACAATTCTAGGAAATGTGTTATTTGGTCCATAGTTTTTCATACTCTACAAACATTTATTTAGTTCAATCTTTACCTAATACGGCCTTCAAAGTAGTTGACTACAAATTAGTTGGTGTCATGAGAAAATGTATCGTCAAAGAATTCCGGAGTTATCGCGATCTCAAAATTTCGATGTCGGACAACAACGCGCTGCAACTTGAGAACATAAATCATTGAAAAATCGAGGAATATGATATTGCAAAATTCCTGTGTTGATTATTTACCATTTAGTATTGTATTATGTTGAATACAAGTATTCCTTTTGTGTCTCTTTTCCAGTGTCATCAAGTGTCACAACCATGCAGCCAGAAACAACATCCAGTGCCACCACGCAATTTGGTAAATGAATAGGTTCAGTAAATTTATTTCACATTACCAGTGTCTTGACTGATTCGTACCAAAAATTACAATCGAAAATGAATGTCTTTTTATTGGAACAACAAGTTGTAAAATCAACAGGGGTGATTAACATTATCATACAGTTATAATTGAATATGGTACCTTGATTCAATGTATAATAATTTGCATCTGCTCTTTTTTTTTATTGGGATTAAATTAAAATGACCTTGAACCGGAACTTAGTTAATATGCACTAACTGACTAATGGGGGAGATTGTATTGATGTTCTAGTCGAGTGGTCTAATCACTTGACTTGAAGTCCGAAGGTCATGGGTTCAATCCCTGGCACGGTAGCTTTGGCCCAGAGCAAGGTATTACATGTGCATCGCTCCCTTTCACCCAGTTGCTAAAGGGTAGTTTGTAAAGGTCAATGTAAAAAGGCGACTATATCCGAAAGGATTCTAAGGGAGTGGACGATGTGCACTATAATTTGTGAAATAGTAATTGCATCCAGTGACTGGGGTAACGATATTGTAAGCGCCTTGGTCGGTTGGGTCTGGGGTTATGGTCTTGGCTACAATTTGGTTTCAGGTTAGGTTTATAATAAAGGATGGGCTATGGTTAAGGTTGCAGTTAAGGTTTGGGGGCAATTATTATGATGATGATGATGATTGTGATTATAATTATTATTATTGTTATCATTATTTCCCCTAAAATCATCATTATTCGTATTTTTAATGGGCAATCCAACCCTTGTAATAATTGTATTCATAAACAAGCAGTAAAATAACAGAAACAGAATGGCACAAGTTTGAAATAAATCGGACCAATAGTAAGAAAGTTTTGAATGTTTAAAATTTGAGATCACTAACTCTATGCAAATCTCACTTTGGTGTTTTTATTTTTGGTGGGTCGATTGTAATGTATTCAAGATTTAAATCAACTGCAAAGAGCTTTGTTATTTTGGTAAGTAGATTGTGACGTAGGACGTGGATAACTCTCAATTTGCCATTGAACAAAAATATCACTAACTTCTGTTTTTCTCATAAGTTCCTTCTGTCTTGGGGCACTAGTCAAAATATATTATAGCTAGCATATTGTTATAGATCCTCTAAAAAGATTAGGCCCCCTAAACCATGACCTTTTGAAAGAAATAAGATTTATTCATTATATACGTAGGAACAAATTGGAAAGTAGTACGGTACTATCTCACATTGACATTAACGCTTTAGTCAATTTGAAGCGCCAATATGTATAGTGTTTACAACTTTCAAAAAATCATAACTTTCTTATAGTTGGTCAGTTTTAATTGAAACTTTCATCAGTTTGCTTTTCTGATTTTTCTGCTTTTGTTTAGGGTAGTTGTCTATTTGGGTTGGATTTCCCTTTGATATTGTTATTTAATGATTTCTTCATTCAATCACAGATGTTGGCATTGTCCTTGAGATCATCTTCGAGAACACATTCCAAAACGATCTTGCAGACCCATTGTCTACTGTGTTCATGGATTTGGCAAATGCTCTCTGCAATCGTGTAAGTCTTTTACAACAGTTTAGCCTCTCAGTTTCAGTTTAATTGTATTGTTTTATATTTCACATACATTTTACGTTTAACAATAATTTCAAAAATCAAATGGTCCAAATAAAAATAAATCTTAATTACAGAGACAAAAAAAATTAGTGAAATATGGAGTGGCTTTAATATGGAGAATACTATGCCTATTTTACAGTTAATTTTACGATAGGCTTTCCTTCTAAAGGGACGAGTAATTAATGTCAATCACAGCAATATAATTTGTTTAAAAAAGCCAATATTAGAGTAAGTTCATTAAAACAATGTAGCATATTGCATTATGTTAATGATTTTTGCATTACCTACATACATTTGTATTACCTGTACATGATACTTGATTGCATCAGAACTTACCTGATGTAATTGGATTTGATTTGAATTGAATTAATGTTTATCTATGTTCATATTTATCATCATATTTATAAAGTCAAATGACATTAAATAGTATGACTCATCTCCCCCCCCCCCCCAAAAAAAAAATGCACACATGTGATCTGCAATTTCAACTACACAATTTCATTGTTTTTAGTCTTATTGGGTGGGAAAAAATTTCAAGTTATTTACTGATACCACGAATTTCTATTTGTTAAGGCATTTTGATACTACGGCACTTTTTTAAGGGTAATGTTAACTTTGGCACAATTTGGTATTTTGCTACCGTAGTCATACTTGAGAAATGTGCCTATGGCACCTTGCCGCATACTCCGTTTAATCATGAATAATGATTATCATAAAATGATTAGTATACCTCATGGACGATAGATAAGCCGGGCATTAGACAAACTAGGAACTAGACTTAATACCGGTTATGAAACAAAAGGAACATAAAACCAAATAAAAACTAGACTAAATGATTATTAGCCTAAATTGTCAATAGAACAAATGATAATTTGACAAAATTATTATTACAGACGAATTGCATGTAGACCAAATGAAAACTCGTTAGGTAACCAGGGTATTGAAACAAAACAACTAGCTGATTTTCCTCCTTGACAAAGATAGCTCAACCTGTGTAGTAAAAAATGATACTTGTTGTAAATACATGTAAAAACAAATATGATACTTTTTTTCTTTTTTTTTGCTGAGATATCGGTAATGCAAACGGTAGTGACTAACTGACTATGGTATGGCTTTCATCATTTTTTCTTCTTCTTTTCTCTAAACAGTTGACCGAGTATTTCAGGAGGCTGACGAGTGACGATATCAGATGCGAAGTAATACGGTTCAGAAACGGTAGTGTAGTGGCAGATGTTAACTTGACCTTCCCTGCTAACGACGCCTCCCAGGCACAGAACATCATGGATAATGTCGGAATCGTTACCGCAATGGATATAGGAAACATTATAGTCAACAATGACATATACTTCACAACCGCCATCAACTCAAATGGTAAGATCGAATTGTACCTTTTCATCACTTTATGGTGTTGGGAGAGTTACCCTTTCTATATGGGCGCAGTTGCCATTCATTTACATGATATTGAGATACACTGCCACGGTTTACCTCTTCATACCTGAACGAACCTTTAAAGGGATCGTTTAACAATGTTAAATCTGAGATACACGGCCCTACGTGTTATCGGTGTCTGTGATATGGTGTAATATTGAAGCCCTAAAAAAATGATCAAGAAGTGCCTCAAAAAACTAAATATCTTTGAGTGACCGGTTTTACCATACTCGTTTTCCCCAATAAACTGTAGTGTTATGAAAACCGTCAGGCGAATGTTTTTCAAAATTTGTAATTCCAATCATAAATATCTTGATAATCAGACGGGCGATCGGCTTGTAAAAGGCATGGCGTTCCTGACTGACCTAAAGGTTTATAATTATCATTGCGTCATGAGCTAAATCCAGAATTTTGTTTCAGAATCTGAGACAAAGTTACTGGATCCCTTTAACAGCCAGGGCATTGTGTCACGAAACCGTCATAATTAAGAACAGGTTCGCCGACATCCTATTGAAATGCGTGTTGATATTAGATACACATGTTACGTTTCAATGGGATTCCATTGACCTTTTACTTATGACAATTTCAATGCCCAGTTTGAGCCAAAAATAGAAGAAGTAATTATTATTATTATTATTTGTGTTGTAAGTATTTTTCACCTGTGTCAGGGAAGGAAAAAGCAAACTTGATGTATATATAAGCTTATCTGAACCTCGGCTTCTTAGGGGATGCTAAACATTGTATTTCTCCGTTTTTTCCTTTTCATTCAACAGCTCCTGAGCCTACTACCATGCAAACAGAGACAACAACAGGTAGGCACACTACATCTTTTTGTTGTTGCTTTCTTCTTCCTATTTTTCTTCTTTTTATTTTTCTTCTTCTTCATCGTATTCTTCTTTTTCTTCTTCACCTTCTCATTTTTCTTCTTCTCCTCACTTTTCTTCTTCTTCCTGTCCTACCTTTTCTTAATTTCATCCTCTCTTTTTCAATTCCTCTTTTTAAACTTTTGTTTCTTCTTCTATTTTCTTTTTTACATCCATCTTTTCACTATTCTATGAGTCATGTTAGGGTTCATTCCATAGCAGTAGTAGTAGTAGTATTAGAAGTAGTAGCAATATTACTAGTCCAACTGGTAGTAGTAGTAGTAGTAGAAGAAGAATAAACAGAAGAAGTAGTAGTAGTACAAGTAGCAGTAGGAGTAGTTGAGGTGGGTGATGAGAAAAGTGATAGTAGTAGACAGCAGTAGTAGTCTAGTAGTAGTAGTATAGTAGGAGTAGTAATAGTATAGTGCAGTAGTAGTAGTAGTATAATATAGTAGTAGTAGTAATAGTAGTATAGTAGTATTGGTATAGAATTAGTAACAGTAACATCAGTGGTAGTAGTCTTAGCAGTAGCAGTAGTAGTGAGTTAGAAGTGGTAATAGTAGCATTGATAGTAGATGTAGTAGTAGCAATAGTAATATTAGCAGTAGTAGTATTAGTAGTAGCAGTAGTAGTATTAGTAGTAGCAGTAGAGTAATAGTAGTAGCATTAGTAATTGATCTACATTTGCCACTCTCCACCCAAGTGTTAAATGGGTACCCGGTAGGATGCGAAAGCTAATGTGGTTAGATAAGCAAGTGTGCGCTCGTAAAAAAGACGCCTGGCTGGAATGCTCCCCAGGGAGTTGAGAATGTGCATACATTGTGTGCGGGTAAGCCTGAATCCTATGACCGGGGTAATAATATAATCTGTAAAGCGCTTTGAGAGGGCCTTCGGTCTTGAAAAGCGCTATATAAGAACTAGCTATTATTATTATTATTAATTGTTATCAATAACATATTCTTCAGTTCTATGACAATTTTGCTCTTAACCAATCAAACATTGGGATTTCAGTAGCTTATAACAATTATTGTATCTTATTATTGATAGGGCAGCGTTTAGGGAAACTGTCCTAAGTACAAATTTATGGACATACTATTGAAACCTGTGTATTAAAAATTCTGCATGTTTCAATCGAAAAGTTGGCAAACATGTAATTATGACAGTTTTGTGAAATGCTGCCGTGTTTACTAATGTATTTTTAATTACCTGTATGTATGTTTCTCTTACAAACCCTTGGTTACCAACTATGCTATGCACAATTTCAGTGTTCTTAGTTGTGATTTGTCCGCCAAACTTCAGGCAATCGTTTCAGTCATAAAAGGAAACTTTTTTTAAAAATATGCATAATCATTACTTTAAAATAGGTCTATATATTCCTATAAATTATAAAATAGACATTTAAAAATAAATTTCCGAAATAATTTGAAATTAACATTAAAAAACTAACAAATTCATAAATTGAACTAAGAAATACACATAAAACTAACAACTCTTTACAAAATAGGCATAAATTTATCTCTTTTGAAACTGTATATTCCAATTAATTCATTTATTTATTTACCATGCACCTGATTCGTGATCAATTAATTTTATTGTGTAGAAATCTGATCAAAATGGTCATAAATTCATCTAAAAATTTAAATTTGAAACTATCCCATTTTATTTGTTTGTTTACTATGTAAATATGTAAAAAAAAACCTTCCAAACAAAGTTTTATTGTTCAGAAATCTTATGAAAAATGAGCATCAATTCATCTCAAATTAAGATTTAAGACTAACAAATTCACAAATTCATCCATAAAAAGCATGCAGAAGTGACAAATTCATCCAAAGATGTTATTTAAAACTCACAATTCATAAATTTATCTAAAGATAAACATTAACACCAACTAGTTTTATTCATTTCTTCATCTCATGCTGCAGAGCCACAAGCACTGTCTAATGGAGCGATCATCGCTATCGTGCTAGGTGTGTTAGCAGGTCTTCTTGTCATCATCGTCTTCACGTGTGGTTTCTTGATACAGGCATCGCGGAGGAACGCAGCTAAGTTTGCTGTAGGGTAAGCCAATTACCACTGTGAATCCAGGGGGTGGGGAGTCTGCAGGCACAGTGATACTTTACCACAGTGCGTAGAGCCATGAGTAGAGCCTAGCTCAGCCAGTCTCTGACTCTGTCAAATACGATCCCGAGCAGCTAAAGTACGGAATCTACGCAGTATGCCGTCAGCCTAGTCTGACAGTCCAGACACTGTTACGCACAGCGAGTGACAAGGGATTGTCACCCTTAGAGGACATTATTCATTCCCACGGTTTCTCCTCGATGATATATGCCGACGACACCCAACTATATATTACTGTTAAGTCTGGTCAAATTCTTCAAATGTTACCGAAGCTGGAAAATTGTCTACATGCCATTCGCTCCTGGTTGACTGAAAACTTTCTGCTCTTGAACGACAACAAGATGGAAGTGCTACACCTTTTTTCTCACCGAAGAAGAAATACAATAGAACTCCCTCCGATTCAAATAACAAATGGTGTTGTAAATTCCTCCAAAACAGTTGTTAACTTAGGTGTTACGTTTGATCAAAACCTTTCAATGCGCCCCCATGTCAATAGTATCTGTCGTAAAGCATCCTTCGCCCTGAGAAAAATTCGTATTATCAGTTCACTCCTTGACAGTTGTAATAGCCTGCTCCATGGAATTCCGGAAAAAGATATGGCCAAGCTCCAAAGAATCCAAAACTCTGCAGTACGTCTAGTTTCTCTCACCAAAAAACATGACCATATTACACCAACCCTTAAACATATGGGCATATGGGCTATCCAGCCGTTTATTTTATCTTGTTATTCATTATTCTATTTGTTATTATATTACTGAATGCATGATGTCTTTTATACGGAAATGAAACAAACAAACAAACAAACAATTGCATTGGCTCCCCATTCAATTTCGCGTCCAGTTCAAAGTTCTTCTTTTAACCTTCAAGTCTCTACATGGTCATGCCCCAAATTATCTTTCTGAACTGATTCAATTATACACACCCAATAGGCCCCTTCGTTCTGCAAATCAAACTCTCTTGACCGTTAAAAAAGCAAAAACAAAATACTTTGGTGATAGGTCCTTTTCATGCTCTGCTCCATGTTTGTGGAATTCTCTTCCAGCCTCCATTCGTTGCATCTCTGATATTACTCTGTTTAGATCAAAATTAAAAACCTATCTAATGGAAAATGCATATTCAACCTAGTTCTTAAATTGTTACCTAGTTCTTAAATTGTTACCTTACCTTGTTATCTTATGTTTCATAATTTCACTTCATATTTGTTCTCTTGACATTACTCTGTCTAGTTTTAATTGTATCAATATTGTAAAGCCCTTTGATATAAATGTCTTATGAACAACGCTATATAAGTAAAAGTTATTATTATTATTATTATTATGACTGTGCCTGCACACTTGGGGATGGACTAGGGGAAATTTATATAACATTTTTTTTTTTTTTTTTGTCTTTCTTTTTTCAGAATGGCCAAAAATGACAAATCTAATATTATTATCATTACCATTATTATTATTATTATTATGATCATTATTAAGATTAGTTTTATCATTATTATTATTATTTTTATTCTCATTATTATTATTAGTTTTATTATTATTATTACTATTTTTATTTTTTGTTATCATTGCAATTTTTTATCCTTTCACAGAGAGGCGTACCATGGTCCATACAGCAGGCAAACCCCTGCCCCTTCTTTCTACGGTGATGATCCATGGGAGGATTCGGCGAGCTATAATTCTCTCGATCGCCGTGAATTTGCAGTTAGCCGAGCGGTAGAAAGACTCGCACACGACCGTGAACGCAGACAAGAGGTTAGTTACTTGGATAATTCTTTACTAGAAAATTAAATTTAGAGGAAAATGGCAGGTGTTTTTTTTCTTGTGGGTGACTTGGATAACATTTTACTAAATAATTAAATGTTTGGGTGGAAAGATTGTGAAAGCAGCAGATAGGCTGACAAGTCATATGACTGTGGCCGTGAATGCCGAGAACATGCAAGTCACTTTAGTCCTTATTAAGTAACCAACAAATATGATTATTAACGAATTTAGAAAATCGATGCCCTTTCCCCTAGTCTCTGACTCCTTCATTGCAAGTTGCTCTGACTCTTCTTATTTTTGTCCTTATACAAAATAGGGCTTCAAGAATATCAAGTTCCAGGCTTAGGCTCTACCCTGCTTATCTACTTTATATTTAGTATGGATTCAGAATGTTGACTTTATTTCACATCTTCAAATTACGTATACCTGTGCTGTACTAGAAAAAAATTGTATTTCAAATTTACCTTCATATACATGGAAACCTCTCTGAAAATTGATATAAAAAACAATGAATTCAAAAATGAATTCAAATCCTTGGATAAAATTAAAGGCTAGAAAATTAAATGTTTTGGGGGAAATATGGTTAATATATCGTTCATTAAGCTGTAAATAGAATAGGCTTAAGATCATTACTTTTTCTTTGATTGGCCGTTTCTAAGTTTTCATGTTATTTTCTTTTTTTCAGAACGTTCAATTCCAGACACCATACGTCGTAGGAGGAGATGACAATGTGAGTATCTTAGAAACACCATCGACTTGTTACATAAAAATCATCCGGTAGAGGCTAATTGCGTGTAAACTGTAACATGATCGCAAATAATTTTTTACAAAATCATCCTTTTCGATAGCCTTATCTATCACCTAGTGAAGGGGTAGTCCACCCTGATAGTTAGTTGGTTTTAATAGAAGCAGAAAAACGTGAGAAATAGGTCAGTGAAAGTTTGAGCGCATTCCCATTCAAAGTAAGAAATGTATATATTCTGAAGTTGCAATCAATCAAACACAAATGGGCAACTCTGTGAAGTGTCTTGCGAGCTCCCCTACTATTTGCCCTGTACTAAAAAATTAAAAGAATCTATATTTGCCTAAATGTAATTATTGAAAATATGTTTTCTTTCATCCTCAGTATAAAACAAATCCATTCTGTAATCAATAACTAAGAAAGTGAAAGTTTACAACATTTTCTATACTTTAAAGATTGGAGAGGGGCCCACTAGATACGTCACAGTGTTACCAATATGTGTTTCACTGATGTCAACTTAAAAAATTCATAGCTTTCCTATTTCTAATCAGATATTGCTCACGCTTTCACTAATTTGTATCTCTAATGTTTCTGTTTTATTTAAAACCAACTTAATATCCGGGTGGACTCCCTCAGTAAATGTGCCAACATTACAATAAAGGATTTGAACATGACATATTGGGGATAACAAAAGGGTATTGAAATTGCCCTTGGGTAGATTTTTCCAATTTTTCGCGATCATGTTAAAGGTTCAACGAGGTGCAATGCAAAGCAATAATTGGACAATAGCATAGTCATAGGCGCATAGCTATGTGGGACAACGTAGACTATTGACTGGTGCACTGGTGTAAAATAAGCGCCTAAATCAACGTAAGCAGGTTTAACTTACTTTACATTAGCTAGATGATATCATTCAGGGACTTTTCAAGTGTACTGTGCTGTAAGTTTGGGGTCTCTCTAGATGAAACGGCTGTCAAGCAGTCATGAAAATGCCATAACAACTCACAATAGATTGTTTTTCGGCTGAATGCACTAATTATGGCATTGAAGTTCTTGGGATAGGTTATTTCAAAGATAAACTATCTGAGTTGCATAGAATTTTAGTTTAAAAACAAACTCATTAGTTGGAATTCAAATTTGCACATGAACTTGAATTACATGTACCTTGCATACATGAATCTTAAAATGTAATAAAAATACTTAAAATCAATGGCAGAAATTACTTTGACTTCAAACTAACCTATTAAATGGCTGTGTTTAAGTCTGAATCATTTATGAGGATATTTCCACTTGCAGAGTAATTTTAGGCATAGAAGTAATCATGACACAAAATTGAAAAACCTTAAATGTGCTTAAACCATTTTTTATTTTTCTCCTTCTTGTTCTCTTTATCTTTTTTGTTCTTCTTTCTTTTCGTCTTTCACCTTTTCTTCATTTTCTTCCTCTTCTTCTTTTTCTTTTTTTCTTCTCGTTCTTAAATATCTCTTCTCCTTCATGTCTAACAGCGCGGTGTTGAACGGAACCCTTTCTACTACTGAAGAAAAGTTTCAGACGCTGGATCAGGAAATCAATGATTTTTTTTTTCTTTTTTAGAAGGCTCTTGTAAAGATTAAGAAATTGTTAATTAGCTGTAGGTAGGAATATTCTATGGAAAAAATTGCCTCCTGAAACAAATTCATTTAAAATGCCTAAATATTCAACCTAATTTTGACCAAAAAATTCTAAAGTTTTGGGACTTTCAGCAATACTGAGGCAATTTGTTATCATTTTGATGATTCTAAAACCTAACAGAAAACACCATTCTTATATGCTAACTGCATAACTTTTTTTCCAATCGCTATCACTTTCTTTCACAATCCAGTCACATGACTAGAACAGAACTTTATCTTTAAGTAGCGTAATTTTGTTACTTGTATCGCTCATTTTGCATTTGCATTTTTTTTCTTAATCTGATTATCAAATCAGCTTCCACTGAATGATTTATTCTTTCATTTGTTTCATATATATATATATATATGTTACTATAATTATATGTAACGCAATGAATACTTACTTTCGGGAGAGACAGGGTTTTGTCTGTTTTTTGGCTAAGAAATTTATAATCAGATGAAAACTATGACGATGTCTAGTTATGTTATTTACATATAATCTGGTAGTATGTGTATAATGTTAATGTACTGGGCTTACAGTGGTATTAGTAATTTAAGTGCAGCTGTTTATTTTTAATCACTTTGAAAAAAAGTAAGTAGTTACCGAGTATTCTACGAATGAATGGTTCAGAAGTATTAAGATAATATTTTAGGACAACTTAAGAAAATGCCTTCGCACAGCACCTAAGACGTACATAAGTCGTTGTTGTTCTTTATCTAGAAGTAGCGCTATTTTGTTATTTATAACACTCATTTTGCGTCATTTAACTTAAGCATTTTGGGGGTAATCTGATTATCAAATCACCTTCCACTGAATAATTAATTCATTCATTTATTTCATATATAGATTTTGCTATGATATTATGTTAGGCAATGAATACTTGCTTTTGGGAGAGACAGGGTTTTGTCTATTTTACCTAACAAATTTATAATCGGATGAAAACTATGACGATGTCTAGTTATGTTATATATATAATCGTGTAGTACATGTATAATGTTAATGTACCAGGCTTACAGGTGTATTAGTAGTCTACGTGCAGCTGTTTATTTTTAATCACTTTAAAAAGTAACTATAGTTAACCAGTATTCTATGAATGAATGGTTCAGGAGTATAAAGATAACATATGTAGGACAACTTCAGAAAATGACTTCGCACAGACCCTAAGAAGGACGTAAGTCGTTGTTCTTTATCTTGAAGTAGCGCCATTTTGATATTTGCATCACTCATTTTGTGTTAGCATTTTTGTTGGTAATCTGCTTATCAAATCACCTTCCACTGAATAATTAATTCATTCATTTCATATATATATATATATATATATATATATTGCTATAATTATGTGTAAGGCAATGAATACTTGCTTTTGGGAGAGACAGGGTTTTGTATTTTTTATTTAACATATTTATAATCGGATGAAAACTATGACGATGTCTAGTTATGTTATATATATTTATAATCTGGCAGTACATGTATCATGTTAATGTACCGGGCTTAAAGATTCACTAGTAGTTGAAGTGCAGCTGTTTATTTTTAATCACTTTAAACAAAAAAGTTGTTACCCAGTAGTCTATGATTGAATGTTTCAGGAATATAAAGATAAATATTATACAGGACAACTTTAGATAATGCCTTTGCACAGAACCTAAGAAGGACGAAAGTCGTTGCTGTTATTTTTTGTTTGTTTGGCAACCAGTCTGCACTAATTATATTTGCCACAAATGGTCTTTTTAATATAGATTGATGGCTTATTTTTACCTGACGTCTAAGAAAGCATGTGTATGCTTGTATTTGTGACCAAAGAGCACTAGTGCATCGACTTTATATCGAACCCGGGACCTCCCGATTACGAATAAAGGACTATATTTTGCATCATACTTAAAATATGGTAACGTGTAGTTTGTGCTCCGATCGTGAGTTTTGTACTACGGAATGGTTGTCATGGTTATACAGACATTGATAATTTTTCACGACTACGCAATGTATCAGGAAGTCAATTTATAGAGCATTCATATTTCTCCACATTCTCTGTAAGTGTCATTGTTTTACACTGAATAGATCAGGAGCAGACTTACCTGGTCGAAATGCACTCATTTAGCATCAGGATGCACGTGTTTGAGTTAATAGTGTAAAAGTGATTCAGGGCAATTCCACGGTAACGGAAGGACACTCAGACAAGATTTTTGAACTTCAGGTTCATACTAAAAAAAATGTTTTATTAGTATGTATTAAACTATGGGGAACAAAATGTGTTTCAGTCAAGTGGAAAGCTTCATCAACTTCACAAAGTTTGGATAAACACTAATTAACTGGAAAAACCATGTCCATTTTTATGTCCTTCCGTTACCGAGATAATTAATATGCACATTCTTAAACTACTTAACTATAATGACAATTTTTTTTGGGAGAATTAAAGGCACTTATATAGGTATTATATCTGTACTGTTTCACATCTTATACTAATAAAACAGTACTTTTAGTATGAACCTGAAGTTCAAAAATCTTGTCTGAGTGTCCTTCCGTTACCGTGGAATTGCCCTTCACAGTAATGTTGTTGTGAGTGACTGCGTGTGTGTAATTTTACAACTTATAATGATTTACAAAATGCTAATTTCGGGTGGTACCAAATCAGTCACTATTTTCTCAAAGCTCTTTCTACACTGTCCCGTTGATATTATACAAAGTCATACATTATCATGGTAAACAGGAAAAAGTCATGCATTATCATGGTAAACAGGAAAAATCCAAGCATTTCTATCCTCCCATTCAGATAATATGTTCTATATTTCATTGGTAATTATTATAGGTGACGTCACTACATTTGTTCTTACATCGTTTCAAATAAACTTGCAATTAAATTACTTTTCGATTTGAATCCTCGCGATAATTCAAACAAAGGTGCCATAAACGCTTACGTTTACTACCCTATACTTTAAAACCCTATACTTTAAAGCGAACCCTTAGCTAGGAAAGTGCCAATTTTGAATAAAAACTGATTGCGCATTATAAACAGCTATTAACCATGTAAACATGCGAGGTGTTACAGTTAGTAGATAGAATTTGTCATGAAGACTTGAAGAGAAATATTTCAGTGAAGATAAAAGAAAAGAAAATGGGGGAAAAGGCGGTTTATTAATCCAAAGGTGTGTCGGTTCGGACAAGCATATCAAATTATTATTATTTACAGCGTATGAAGATATATTCGAGAGGGGAAAGAAATCGTTACAGAGAAAAGTTTATCATTGAATTCAACCACTACCTAATAAGAGAGAGAGAGATATGGTACCGAGAGTGGGTGTAATGGAGAGAGAAAGATGGAGAGGGGGGTATTGGGAGGTGGGGAGATTTAAAAGAGAATGAGAGAGGGGGTATAAAGGAGACGAGAAGAGAGAGATAGAGACAGACAGAAAATTAGAGGGAAGAAGGAAGAGAGAGAGAGAGACAGATGGGAAGGGAAAGGGAGGGGATGGGATAGAAATACATAGGATGTTGAGATGAAAAAGAGTTTACTGGCTATAAATCCTTCCGTCACCAAACATTTTACCTTTTACGAAATGAGAACAGATGAAAAAATGCCAATCAAAACGTCAGACTCAAACTACAGGCGAGATAAATATGACAATTGTGTGAGAGCATACAGAACAAAAGACAAAGTAGTCGGTTTAGGTGGTGACAGATCAGTGGTGGATCCAGGGGGGGGGGGGAGCTTGTCCTCCCAGACAATGACAAAGAGCCTCTTCAGTAGGTTTAGGGACAATACATCAACATAATGCGTTCATTGTCGCAATGTCAGGAATACTATTATTACCTCTTTGGTAATCTTCGCATTTGACAAAAATAATCGTTCAATGAAGGGAAGTTCAGGTTTTTTTTCAATTCATTAATTGATGCCATGTCAGAAAGAGCTGAGTAGTTTGTTACGTAACTATTCAAACATTGCAGGTGCAAGCTATTGAAAACAAAGTCGAATAGCCAAGCTTCCCTATTCATTGGTGCCCTGTTGTAGAATTCGTAGCATATACTGAATTGAATAGACCTGTGTTCTATTCATTATGCTATGTGAGGGCAGTGGCCTATTGCCAGCTAGCTCCTTTTTTTTTTTTGTGCTACATCTACAACAATTAGTATAAGTATGACAAAAATACATTGAGATTAGCAATGTGACACTTTAGTCTAGTGGGTAGGCAATTGCCTGGTAACTGGAAGGTATCGAGTTCGACCCCCAGCTAGTGCTTTTTTCCCCTTCTTTTTCTACATCTACAACAATTAGTATAAGTATGAAAAAATACAGGAATTAGCAATTTTACACTTTAGTCTAGTGGATAGGCAATCGCCTGGTAACTGGAAGGAATCGGGTTCGACACCCAGCAACTGCTTTTTTGTTGTAAATCTTTGAAAATGAAAAACTGATGTTAAACCCATTTTCATCTCACTCAAAGTCCATATTTATTGCTATTCTCTTAATTAGTGGGCACTCATTTTTTTTTTGGCCCTCGAAAATTTGAAAAGCCAGGGGGGGGGGGGCCATCTCCAAAAAAAGAAAAAAATAAGGCGTGTTTGTATACGTTTTTTCCCAGGGGGCGGGACTTCCGCCCCCCCCCCCCCCCCCAGCCAGCTGGCAATCGTCAGCTAGCTTGGGTAAAGAGGTCCATTAATTGTTTGTTTATTTAGTTATTTGTTTTAATTGACAGTATTCTATTAAATATCAGGTATACTGGATGCTCTGTTTTAAATACGGTCAGGACTGCCGAGCAATAAATTACCTACTGCTTCTTGTCCTCAAACCATTTCAAAACGGTATCATTTGAATTAATTTTCATTTCCCAGCATTATTTTGAACTGTCCCGAAATTGTTTTCCTTACTTTAAATGAGACTACATGCAGCCCCAGTCTATTTTTTTCTATGGGGATGTTGAAAGAGCTTGTCCTCCCAGACAAGGACAAAGAGCTTCCACGTAATAGACTACGCTATTTGGTATGAATATCATTTGTTGTATTTCGATACCATTACGTCATCTTTACTACGCCTGCCCGGCATGCATTTCGCACGTTTCTATCGGTAGCGTATGAAGGTGTTAGGCTGGATGAACATGAATAAACATGATTATATGACGTCACGATACGTCATCTGCTTGTCTGAACTTGCGTTGTGCAATGCAATGGACTACGTAACATTAGTTATGTAGCATCCTTATGTATTTACTGATCATTTTCGTAATATGTTTCATTTTCTAGAACTTCCGTCAGTGTTCTTGCTCCAGCATTACACAAGCCTATATAACAAAAAGATTATATTGAACTGTGAATGACTTTTAAAAAAAATCATAGAATTAATGATAGATGTGATGTGATTCTATTGATATATTATTGAGGTAGAAAATCTAATGACAAGCTTGCTCTAAATAATAAAATAGATGTTTTTTTCTGCAGAGAGAAAGACATGTAAAAAGTTCCTTGGTGTATATATCAATGAAAAACTTGACTGGAGCGACTATGTAAAACACATCGTTACATCAATCTCCAAAAATATTGGCATACTGTATACAATAAAATGTTTTGTTTCTGAATATTACTTATGCTATATAATAGTCGCCAAGCTGATTATCGTGACCAAGCTACCCACTATCTGTTACACTGAAATGCTTAAAGGTTGATGATATTTACTTCCTAAATTGCTATATTTTGTGTGCCGGGGGTCTCAGTCATGTAGAAATATTGTAAACATGCGTGATCCCGGGTTTTCCAGACACCCCCTAAACGAGGATTTCTTCTGAAGCCAAAATATACGCTAATGAGGATTTTGCGTGGTTTTTTCCTGACTTCACATCCTAAACTGGTATTTCAAAAAGTGTACTCCTAAACATCACAACTCCTTTCTTTGAGAAAAATAACAAGTTTCATATTTCATCTATTTCATATATTTTTTTTTTTTTTTTTTCCATCTTTATTTCACAATTCACAAGTTTTACATGTCAAGAAAATAATTACATGCATGAAACATCAAAATTAAATCAATCATAAAATATGCAAATATAGAAAACAAACATTCAGTACAGGAGAGATTAACAAAAAAAATGAACACCTACTTTTTCAGTCTCTAAACACTTGCCATTTTTTCTCATGGAATTCGAGACGATTCTTTTTGAAAGCAATAATACGTTCTGTTCTTTCTAAATGTCTAACAGAAACTAGGAAAGGCTGAAACTTGGGAATCGTGTTCTGTATCTTACAAGAGAAAATGAAATATTTAGCATGGAGTATAACTGTGTTTACTAAATAAAAATTATTAATCATTAAAGTCCCAAAGCAAATTTCTTCCTCAGAGAACATGTTTTGTCGAAATTGTTTATCTTTAAGCCAAGAAAATATTTCGTTCCAGAATTTACACACAATCTCACACTTTAAAAAGAGATGTAATAAGGTTTGTGGATAGGTTTCACAGAAATTACAATCAGGAGATTCATGAATCCCCATTTTACATAGCAAATATTCAGTCGCAATTTTCCTGTGAATGAACTTAAATTGGAAATTTCTCATTTTATTTTCATTTGAAGATTTGTAAATCAAAGAGAAACGATTTTTCCATATTAACGAGCTGTTCAAATCAACTGATAAATCAGATTGCCATTTATTTTGGTGATCTGTTTCTGATATTGAAATTGTATGTTTTTTCAAAAAAAGAAGGTAACATAATTTTGAAACTTTTTTCAGTCTTAGGAAGTCATTCAAAAGAATATCGCTTGCATTCAACAACAATAAAACATCATGTTTACAGTCACCATGCTTTATAGTATCTTTCCAATTCTTAGGAATGGCAGCTAATATTGAAAAATAGGTTAGAAATGAATCTGAACCATACTTCTGTAACACTTGATCA